AAAGGGCTGCTTGGTTGGTCGACTTTGCAATCATTTGGGCTGGTGTCGTGAAATTGGGAAGGGAAAACAAGGAGAGGAAAACGTGTAGTATTTTAGAAAATAAAAAAGGAGCCGAATCATGTGCAACGAAGTGAAGAGGTACGAACAACAGTCCCAAGGACCAGCCTCAAGTAGTGACGGTGCAAGATTATTGCTGGTAAGTGCCGCGAAGGAAATGGTCACTAACACCACCGCCACCGCCGCCCTTGGGACCGAGCCAGACTATCTCAATCACGCTGTGGCCCTCATCTTCTTCGCGAACATAGAATTGGTGCACGTTCTCACCAACCACGAATGCATCACGGAGCAACCACCGATCCTTAGAGACACCCTCTTCCTCTGCGGGACGCAGGGGACCCAGGCGGTCTTCATAGCCGCGGGGGTCTTCGGGCCAGGTCTTTTCGGTAGCATCAAAGTTGATAGCATCATCTGGCACATTCTCGCCGTAAGTGTACTTCACCAGTGAGTAACCGTTCGTCATGACCCAGAAATGACGGAGAGTCTCGCCAGTAACGCTGTTCACGGTCTCCTCCTGATCAAAGACCCAGCGACGAAGAACAGACTTCCGGCCTGCGGCAGCAGACACGGTAGTCATCTTGACTACGTCCTTGGTGTACCAACTGTTCCAGTGGTGCATTGATTCAATCTTGCGACCGGACTCGTAAACACCGTCCACGGGGTCTGCCATGTCCATCTGGTAGAGCGAAGGCCACAGGGTCAAAGGGGTGTCGCCGAAGCGTTGGATACACTGACCAAGCTTCTGGTCACCGGGCTGCTCGCCCCAGGACTGGCACTCGTCGTAGTGCTTCATCAGGACATCCAAAAGAGGCGTCGAGACAAACACACCGGCACCACCGAAAGCAATGTGGCCGAAAGTATCCACTTGCCAGCTAGCCTCAGACAAAGATCCAATGTAGTGCTTCTTGCTCTCATCAAAGAGCTTCAGTTCCTCGGCGATAGTGGGGAGCGACAAGAAGAAGGTATCGTCATCGCTGAATCCAACCCATTTGGTGTGCGGGCGGTGCTTGCGAATGTGCTCGGTGAACGCCTCGACCATACCAAAGTAACGGGCAGTGAAGTCAAGCGGAGAGGCTTTTAGTGTCAAGTCCAGACCGCGGTTGCGGAAGTAGGTCTCTTGCTTCTCCAGGTCGTCGTCAGACTCAGGGACCAGAACAATCAGACCGGCCTTGGTGTTTCCGTAGGAGTAAAGCAGAGAGGGGAGCAGGCGGTCCAGACGGTCCACGGTAGTGGCCAGACCGAACAGAAGCTTGGAGGTTTCCTCGACATCGTCATCGGCGGCCACATCGACTTCGATGATCTCGGGGCAGACAAAGTTTTCCGGCTTGTTCTCGGGAGACACGACCATACCGCGCTCCATGACAACCATGGGCGGGAGCACAGGCTTCTCGATTTCCTCCAAAGTGTGGAATTCGGTGCGAGGGTTCACATGACGAGGACGGAAATAGGCGCGAGTGTAGTTCTTGCGAGGGAGCCATTCAGGGAAGGGTAGGGGGGCGGCCAATTTCGGGTCAGCCTCACAAGTGTTGCTGGTCGGCTGTTGCGAATCAGATTGTCCCGGTGTTTGTAATTGAGGTTGCTTGTTTCCACCGAAGGTGGCCCGATCAATTGGGTGCTTGAACCGAAGGAAAGCTGAGCGGTCGTAGCGTTCCATGCAAAAGAAAAATATTCCGATGATCACTAGAGCCACCAACGGGAATACCGTCTTGATCCGAAATAGAGGCATTTTGGCTTTCCCAGTGTTGAATGACGACTTTTCAAACATGTAAATAGAGGAAGGCGAGACGGAATCGGGGGCAGATGAACCCTGGAATTAAAAGTTATGGGTTCGGCGTGCGAAGTGTCGTATCCCGGAAATATCGAACAGCAAGCCGGTAGCAAGATCCAATTCTGACTTGAGGGAAGAGTCAAATAAACGAGTGTTCCAAGAGTGGATTAAAGAGTGACAGGCAAATAAAGTGCCGAGATATTTCAACGAGAGGCTGGCAGCGTCGGGACCTGCGACACGGTCCAAAGGGGGCAGCGTTTGTGAAGGGGGGGAAGTGTGGTTGGAAGAGAATAAAGGAGCAAGACTAACGCGGCTGGACGATGTGCCCAGTCCGAGTGAAAAGTCGATGAGAGGTTGGAGGATTGTGTCGTGAAGGTGTTGTAGGAGGAAAGAAAAAGGGAGGCCGCCGAAGCAATTAATGGGACAGGGTTGTCTGTGTATTGGTATTACCGTAATATATTATTTAAGGTCTTTTCTTTTTTCTATTTTTACATCCGTTTTCTACATCGATGTAGATATGTACATATCTGACGTTCTCGCCGTCTACTGTTTCTCATTCAATATGCTGTGTTCAGTGATATCAGAATATATTGCAGCTGGACATTGCTATCTCGGTATTTATCCCCCGGTTGCGGTGTTGATGCCAAGTTGGGATGCAGGAACAGAACCCTTCGATAGGACCATCTCAGATGATATGTGGCTTACACTTTGTTTCCTTTTGCTTCATCTTACCTGTTGAATCTAAGTGTCGATCATGACGAAAAAGGAATGCTGTTGACTGGGAGTGATCATCCCCTCCCAGCTTCAGTGGAATACGCCGCCATGAAACTGACGATCGGCACTGGTTTCCACCCCCCCATTTCCCTATCTTGAGCGGAACAACAATGTTTTTGTCTAACCTGGGCACGGGTGTGGTTGTTCAAGTCGGAAATGGTCATATGGCCCTTGATACTCTAAGATAAGCATGTTTCAAGTATCTTGAAGGTCAAGAAAACCGTTTGCGGCGACACATATTTGGATGCAGGCTCGCGTGAAGCTGCCGATCGGCTGTTTGGGGCATTTACATAAATAAATTTGTATGATAGGCCAGAAAATCATGTCTACTAATAACTCCCGATTGCCCACTCCCTCGCGTCTCTATACAACTGTAAATGTATGTTGTACGGAATAGTGAGTACTTGTATCTGCATATAGATATTATGCTATGTATAGATACGCCATGTATCCGAATTCGTCGTATTGCACCTAGCTGTGCCTGTCTGAACAATCATTCAACAATCTCGGACAATATAAGCGACTAAAAACATCCGTTCCTATCCCGAGATCCCATCATGATGATGTGGACATAATAACGTACAATAACGTACATAGAACTGGAGATCACGTCACTGTTATCAAGTTGGGCGCTTGGACCATCAAAGCGAAGTGCGGGACCTTGGGAAGGGTTTGTATAAAAGTTGTACTAACGAACTACAACATACCTTGACCCTGTACAAAGCAGTATCAAACAACGGAAAGGACAGGTGTACAATTGTACTTCATTTGAAAGGCAAAAAAGAGCCAGGGAAATGATTAGAGACGATCGCCCTAGCACCCAGCCGCGTCAACCAGTCAAAATTAGCCGGAGGGGCAAATGAGGCCAGCGCCCCCACAGACACGCGTCCTTCTTGACGTTCTAACATAATATGCTGGTATTAGGATTCTCTCATATATGTAACACATGGGTGGATATTTAGCACTTAAGTGATATCTGTATTACTGTCAGTATGTATTTGTCTTTTTGAGACATCTAACATTCAGGGATGCTCCGCAATTTGCACATCAATTTATTGAGCAGTTCCTAAAAAAGGAGAGACCCTGAAACCTGAAACGTGGAAGCTTATCAGGTCACGTATATTCAGTGGCGATAGCATTTCCTCACCCGTGGATTGCCTCATCAGGTGGGCCGGGATCGACAACCCTTTAAATGGGAATTTTAAATGGCCCGAGCATTTTCTATTTTGATTGATCTTGTTACATTATTCTATATATATATATGAATTTGACTGAAGTCTCCCGGGGATGACTGTATAATGTTTCAGTTACAACGTGTGGAGTACAGTACGGAGTGCAGAGTACTTGGTACATCGATGTACAACATCAGCAGACAATAGTGAAGGCACCTGAATTGTGGAGAATCATCCACTTCTGCCCAGGCCTCTAGCATGGCATGGACCACGGTACAAACAGTTACGCACTACTCCGTAAGAATGCACGCGTCTTGTCGGGGTTGCCTTATATGTTGTAGAAAGTATCTAGGTACCTCGTACGAATCCTGTCATACATCTTACGTGTAAATGAAATGTGTCCAGTGTATCAGATTAAAAAAAGCCGTGTCAGCACTTACGAATCTCGAAACAGCCGCTTAGATAATGCAAAAGATATGCCGGTCATCTATGGCAACTTAAGCTTGAATGGTCGTCTTGGCGTTGCTGTCATAGCGGCAAAAGGGGGAGATGCTATCAAGGGTTGTTTATGTTGTATACTCTGTATTTGTAAAACGAGGCTTAGTGTAACTAGTTGTTTTTAAGATGAATGTTACCATTAATAATCAAGCTTGGCAATACGGTGCTAATCTTTTCCTTCTTCGTCCTAATATGTATAAAAAGTCAAAAGGGGCTCTACCATCTATCTAGATATTTGAGATCCCTAGGTAGCGTCTCGTGTTTAGACGCATGTGTTGAACTCATTTCCGAGTGCAATGCGTATTATTAAAATACACGTATAAAGCTGCTGGAACCTACTGAATTTGGCAACTGCCTGGGAATCTTGCCACCAGAATAGCATAGTTCTTCTATTCCTGGTTATACATAGGAAAGTCTCTTGCACAAAGTATGCTTTTTTCTACCGCCTTTAAATACATCTAGAATATCGAACGGCTCAATGCAATGCTCTGAGTACCCTTCGCGGGGACCTCTCTTTGTCTAGTTTGGCGTAAACCTCTTACTCTACTAAGCTTCAGCGGATCCTTGCCATTGATAACTATGCCCAGCAGAAGCGGGCGCTGATTCTTAGTCTGTATTAACAAGAGTTGGCGGTCTTTGGGCCTTTCGAGTAATTAGATGACCAGTCTAATTGGAAGCAAACGAAGTCATTTTCCGGAGTCGATATGGTCATTATGAAACGGAGAGTTAGACTATGCCTTTGATCCTTGCTTCACTTTCTGAAACTTCTTAGGCTCATACTCCTGGAGGTCACCCAGACAGGGTGCCACGAATAGACTGCGATTGAACATGCCCTTCACGGTAAATAGCGATACCACAATCCATAATAGTAGAACACAAACGGATAGTATCTAGGATGAGTTAGCTTTTTCAATATGAAACATTTGGCGTTGAAGTAGCTTACTGTGCCTAGGACTCTGAAGAACCTGGACGGCATTTCTTGGCCTAGTTGGTTGGTGCAGGTTGCAAAGACGCCGAGCGGGAAGGTGAATGCCCACCATCCGAGATTGAATGGGAATTTCTTCGACCGAATAATGGCTGCCACTGCAAAGAACAGCCATATACAACCAAACGACCACAGGAGAAGACCCATTAGGAAGCCGATGTCGTATAAAGTATCGCCTGATCCGGACCTCAACGTTCCTGTAAGTGGGAAAACCTTTTGTGCGGCCACCCCCAACTTTTGAATTCTATGAAGAGAGGAATGATGCATTAGTATGAGGCTCGTGCCTTGCTGTTATTTCGAAGGTACTCACCCAAAGCCCCCTTGACCCAGAGGACCCAGAGGTAAGAATGTGCTAACAATTACTGCTTTCTGTGGTAGTTTGTATAGCATGAGGCGCATTAAATAAATGACAATGATCATCATGGCCAGGGGCACTCCAATTCCCCATAAAACATAGCTCACGATGATAGTCCCTAGAGCATACTGAGGATCTGGGAGTAGATCAGCCACAATACCTCCTGACGCCGCCGCAACGACGCAAGACACAATGGGAAGCAGCCAAGCGGCGCCCATCGCTTGTAGCTTGACGTCAGCTGTTCGAGTCATCCTAGAATACGAGTCAGTCCTAATAGTATCTTCAAGGAAAGGAGTTGGGTGTACACCATACACAATAAATGGTATCCCGAAGCACGTCATGATAGATATAACGACATCTGCAATCCACAGAGCCCAGGCAAAGTAAACAGTCCAATCTCCCCAGACTGGTACGCAGACATAGCAGATCATATTTATTATTGTGGCAAGTCCCATAGGGAGAGCTCCAAGGAAAAGGGACTGTGTAGGATGAGTCACCATGAGATAGAAGATCTTCGGGTAGAGGACGTATCGCAAGATGGTGATAGCGAAGAAAATGATAAAAAGGAGTATGTTCAAACAAAAAATTGCCACTGATATCCAGTATATCCATCGGCCATTGTAGGGTAAAGTGTTGAGCAGAATAGAAGTGATCCCGGTGCCCATATTAACAGAGAACCAACTTCAGCAAGAAGAGTTAGTAAAGTCAACAACCTACGCTCAAGCCACTTACGCGGGTGTGAAATTCCGCACAATATGGCGCCAGCCATGATTATGCTTCGACCGTTTTGTGTAATAATTTGCATTTTCAGTTTCCGGCGAGTCTGTGGTATCATTTATGTTAGCCTCGTTGCCGCCAGGTAAGACTTCGTTCTGATTGTCTTGTGGCGACATCATGCCAAGATGAGTTGAAGTTGATTTTCAGGATATTGAATCTTTTGAATGGTAGGCACAGTAGAGGACCTAATGAGATTGATATAGGTTGCCGCCATTCAAATCGTGTAGATGGAGTACAAAATAGAAATTCAAGAATATTTTGAGAACTCCAAGTCGGTTCCGATGGTACTATACCCCTGGTCCAAAGCGCAAAAATAATTCGCAGCACATGATGATTCATATACGATGATTCATAGTTTGGCTTCACGGTGTTTGGTATGTCGGAGACCCGCCCTTCCGGGGACCAGGTGGGTCTATAGGGATCTCACAGGCCAATGAGAGACAGGCTGTCATTGCCCGAATTTCTGTATCCCCGGAGCTGCCATGAGCATAATGATCACAATAATGATCACAAGAATGTCAGATTATAGTACCTTCAGCATAAACAACTGATGATAGATCTATAACTTAGAACAAACAATTGACTGGTTGGATCTTTGACATCCAAGCGTATGGGGAACCCGGATTACCTCCAGGGCTACCAAACCTTGCGGCCCTGGGGTAAAATGCAGGAGAAGACAACTCGCTACGTTAAACTGTTGAGGCTGACCGTATTGTTACAAATGAACTGCTCAAATTATGTTATCAATGTTTACAAATTGGTACCTTGGCCTTCCAGTAAGCCTCAATTGGTTCACAGTGTGTATCAAGTTCTGTAGCAGTCTGAGCGTGGGATGAAACTTCGCCGACCCAACGGAAGGTGACTACCGACCCCCGTTTCTATAAATAACAAACACCTAGCAAAATTCCCCATTCTAACCTATGTTTGCAATCGATCAACCGAAAATGGTTCTCATCCTAGATTGTAAATAGTAAATAGTCATTGATGTGCCGTGGGAAGCATCGTTGAGTCAACTCCCAAATAACCGTTGCATTTGATCGTTCGCCAACACCATTTCTCTCTTCGAATGTCTTCTTTGAATGGTATTATTGCCCGCATTCTAATTCGTATATATGATATCAATTACCTATTCAAAATCCCACTTTTAATTTCACGAATACCCTGACGTTCAGAATCAGCTATTCAGCCACGTACGCGGCCCCCACGCGGGTGTGGAATAAATAGGTTGCTAGGGAATAGAAGAGAAACATATCTAGATAGATAAATTAGTTAGTTAAATTAATTTAATGGCGTTTGGCTGAGATATATGCATTTAAAATTGGTAGGTTGGATAGGATGGCCATTCGGTAGTGAAATATGTTAAGGTATAATTTAATCCTAAGGATAGTATAGAACCCTATTTAGCTTGAACTTGATGGTTGGTCTTGACTCTATGCCGATTGATATTCTCCGGCGAAGAGTTTGAAGATTTCGTAGAACGCGTTGTCTACTACGGTGAAAGCCGCAAGCATTTATAGCCTAGCCCAAAGACCCCGTCCCACACCAAGCCATTATTGAAAACATCTTCTTGGGGAGTACCAATGAAACGTGAAAAAATCGAAGGGTGTTGAGCCTAGAATGGGGAAGACAAAGGCACGATCAAAGGGAACATACAAGTCCATTAGCACAAGTTTCAAGAAGGGCTGGCAAAGTTTCAGTTCAAACCTCAGAAGACAGTATATATCACCCGGGGTTTAAAGGCATGTGTGGTATTCCAGCCCCTGCGGAGTAATTAGGCTAAAGAATAGTAAGGGCTGCACAGCATGGGTTGGATATTGTCTCAAAGTGTCAGGAGGTGTCAAAGAATTAACATTTCAGCACTTACCTATAAGTATTTCCAATCAACATTCGGCACCTAGAATCCGCATAACTTCAAAACTGACGCTAGAGATGGCAACTTTGGAGGGCAAAGAATGCCTTTCCACCCATAACTTCGGATATCGATGGCCAAAGTGATGAATCGCCGCAGAAGGAAAGGGTTTGATAGCACATTGTCATCATCTATATTTCTTTGGACTATTCTTATTCTATAAATATATGAGACGCCAGGACTCAACCCTGGGAAGCTCTAAGTTCCATGATGGAAGTGGTACAAATTAATAGTTAGACCGTATCAAAAGGTAAGGTCTCTCGGATCCTTATGCCCATATTCTTGTCTGGTTTTTGTCTCAGTGAAACTCGTCCTATGTCTTATCTTCTGCTTTGTCTCCGTACAATTTATTATCAATCTGAGCTGCTGTAGCAGAGTTAAAGCGTCACTCGTTTTACCGAAGATGTTTTATGGACTATTTGTGGTATCGGCATGCTCCGGCAGATTCCTTTTGGGTTCTACGGGAAGAGACACTGGAGAGCTCTAAATCTGACGAAAAGTACATCTAGCGCACTGAACTCGCTGGGAATGCCCGGTGCCCTCACGTCTGTGATTGAGCATGCACGAAGGCACCCGTGGATTCAGTCTACCACAAAGAACGGTCACAATGTCATATCCATCTGTTGGGAACCATGCCCTCCAATCCACTGCTCGACATCATCATTCAGGCTTGCTGTGAATATGGGCCATGTCATTCCTTCCATTGTAGATGTAGATCCCAGGTCCATATTGGGTATGTCATAGTTCGATGTGAAGTCTGAGTAGCCTATCGATTGTTAGGAACTCATTCAATTGGCCGAAACCGCCGAAAAATACTAACCTGGAAAGTAAGAGATAGCTGTTGCTGGAATAGCAGAGGGCAATGCGACCTCGGATGTGTAGGGCTCAGTGCTTGCACGAGAGCCATCTAGAACATAACTAATGGCCACGACGGCTTTTCGAGCCTCTCTCGAGTTGGCAGATTGCCGACTCCAGATGGCCTGAGATGTTCTTAGGAGATCTCCGATCCGGTCTATGTCCACCAGCTTAACTTCAGAGTCTCTGGAATTGTTAGGGGCTGTGTCCCTTTTATTATTATGAGCTTGAACATAGAAGCAAAGCACACTTGTGGCTAGAAGGAAGTCGTTTATGAAAGCAGAAGAAACTCTCCAGCGGCTCTGGTACAACAGACCATCTACCTGAGTCTCTTCGTCAACGAGACGCTGAAATTCTAAAATCTTTATCGCAGAATCCAAGCATGCTGACCGCGAGCGATCATACTGCCGGTGAAGGCGAGAGGGCTCAAGAAACTTCCTGTGCAAGACAATCTTCAGTTGGTAGATGATCACCTCCAGCCATATCCTTTGAACCATTATTTGAGATGGGATATTGAGGGACGATGCGAGGCCAGTCCACTTCAAACTGGATGGGATCGTGTTCGCAGCTTCGTCAATCTGTTGATCAAGCTTCAGGATCTGGGCATATGTATGTGGTTGGGGTTCCGTGGCCACATCGGCGACCTTGGCTCCTACTGAGAGCAGTCGGAGCTTGGCTAGGACATAAAGAGTAGGTGTCACCTCAGTCTCGGGCTTTGAAGCGGGCAATGTAGGAGTATCCTCATCGAAGTCTGAATCGTTCAGGTTCCGTGGCTCGGCAGTATCGGTGTCACTTTCTTTGACCAGCCTAGGAAGCCCCAATTGCGTAGAGACGCTAAAGTCTAACTGGACGATCATCGCCCACACACGCCTCCGCATTTCACCAGCGAAGGGGGATATAGATGGGAAATGTTTCGCATCGCGGTGATAGCCCATATGTATGGCAATCTGTACTATGTTTCCAACTAGGACCCAAATACCAATCTCCATATCTTTGAGGTGGAAATTCTCAATCAGGAAATAGAGAATCAGTGTCTCCAAAACGCACGGCCCACCCTTTGTGTAATGACCAAGCAGGAGACACTGGATCACCTTCTCTTTGTACGTCTCTACCAATGCTTGATTCTCTTCGACCTGTGATGTCTTTCTTGAGTGTCCGAGTGTAGGAGAGCACCCGGTGGTACTGGGAAAGGCCTGCTGGAACTGGGTCGACAGGCACATAATACTAAACAGAATACCAATCCACAAGATTGGGGCGTCATGTGGTGCCTTCCAAAATCTCTCATACTAGTTTCCAGGGTTAGCTAGGGTTTAGGGAGCAGGACCAGGTCTATAGGTGGGAGTGACCAGGCGAGTATGGATGGGAAGTCCGAATCGTACATACCTCGCGGAGGAATTTGCCACTGTGCACAATACCTGGTTCCCATTAGTCAGTTTGCATCATGATTAGGGTGTTGTTCGGAAATAGTAGGGGCAGGGGAGGGCTTAGCATACCAGGAGCTATATCAATAATGTTAAAGTAACGAGAAATTAATCTGTCCACAGTAGGGCGAGGTGGCAGAGACTTCAGAATCGAGGCAGAGGATTCATACATTCCACAACTGTAGAGCAATTTGGGTTTAGGGAAGCTTGCCGGTGGCCGGACAGTACCCAAAACCATGGGATAAGCCTCCTCATCCCGTGTGATGTGGTTTCGTAGATCGGTAATACTATCTAGAATGGCAGCCCAATGCGAGCTATTAACATAATTGACACTTGTCTCTGGAGTCCTGAAGCTACCATAGTCAGATAGGGATGGCGAGACATCATGCTGCGTGTCGTATTCTAGCACAGTGGATCGATCCAAATTTTCACGCGAATCAGATCGGTCATTCCGAGATCGTTGATCAGGTGTAACGTTTCGGAGGTCCCTTAATGGTGATTCATCTATTGACTTCGTAAGCTCTCTGGTGTCGAATAGATCTACCAAGAATAAAGAGCTCATTTGGAGTTCAGAACCCCCACATCCGTGGAAATTGTTTCAAGGCTGTTATAGGCTTTGCTTACGAGGGCTTGACTCAGTTTGGTGCATGAGTTCCAAAACCAGACTCTCTAATTGATTGATACGATCCTTCATATTGGTGGCGGGGGGTTGAAGTCGGGCTGGCGAGGCTGCTTGTGCAGGTGAATTGGCAACTGAGGTGGTGGTTTTGGTATAAACACAAGAGAAGCCAAGCCCCCGGCTCGAGCAGTTGCTGCATGGGCGTAAACGATCGCAACGGACCCTGAAGAGCAGTATCAGATTCCGAGAGATTAGACATGAGATAAAGGAGGACATACTCACTTCCGTGAACGACATGACTTGCAACTAAGCTGAGCCTTGTCTCGACGCCTAGAAGGTGGAGGTTGAAGCTTTCCGGATGAGGTATTGGACGGAGTCAGTTCCTGAATTTCTCTGTTTGCGGGATGCATGGCGTCTGGCATATATCCAACGGGGTTAATTTTATATGCGAATGGAAGTGTAGACTTTTACGTTCGTGCACTCCTATAGATGGGTATATCTGGTAGAAGCCTGAAGTTCGGGGGAGGCAACNGGGGGGGGGGGGGGGGGGGGGGGGGGGGGGGGGGGGGGGGGGATGAGGATCACTAGTCCCCACCGTTATATCCGGGCATTTCGGACATTTCGGACATTTCGGACGGTCACTACTCCGACCATCCGCGGACGGTCGACTTAGATCTGTCACAAGCTCAGGGTTCAATCCAAAGAACGTCCACGGGTTTCTTGGATGCTTACATGTCAATCGCCTTCGGGTTCATTCACAGACTTCAGAAAGATCTTCAATCCAAACAGCCAACAGAATGTGGCCTGATCCATTACTAGGCGTGGAACCGATCATGGATCGAAACTACAATGGATGTATGTCTTGAAGAGATATCAACCATCACGTTGTATGTTCCATCTCCCTGTTCTCCGTCGTGCTCTGGAGACTACCGATCCTCCGCGGAGGTAGCCTGCAATGTTCCCTTATGTTTCGTCTCCCTCGTTCTGTACCCAACCCAGTCATTCATTTACATTTAAGCTCCAGTGTTGTGGTAAAATCAGCATCACCCTATAACACGAACTTCCACTCCCTCAGATTCCAAAAATTGCCTCCACATTGAGCTGCAACTTTTACATTCCCACAACACAACTGGCTTTCGTTTTATGACATTCTCCAAGATGTCCTCAGATACAGAAGCCATGGGGCTGAACACTTTCGTGAAAATAGAGTCAGAAAAGAGCGACCTCGTTGACTGGGAGGGTCCCAATGACCCGGAAAACCCCCGAAACTGGAAAAATGGACGCAAGCTGCAACATGTCCTCCTTGTCAGCGGCTTCACTCTGTACTCGTAAGAGCCCCTTGCCATATTACAACATATTTTTCCCTTTTACCCATCGGCCTTCCAGCTGTCGATGATAGCTGACAAAATGAAATAGAAACCTTGCCGCAGTCATGTTCGCTCCCGGGGCTGCAGAGCTCGTCAAGGACTTTCACGTCACCAGCACCATCGTCGCCTCCTTCACTGTATCCATCTATCTTCTGGGTTACGTGTTTGGTCCTTTTCTGCTTTCCTCCATGTCCGAAATATACGGCCGTTTGATCATCTACCATATCAGTAATGTTGGCTATCTCGCATTTACAATCGGCTGCGCACTAAGCAAAGATACGGCTATGTTTATGGTATTTCGCTTCATATGTGGCTGTTCCGCCTCTGCCCCAATGGTAGTTGGTGGAGGGACCATCGCAGATCTTTATCAAGCCAGCGAGCGTGGTAAAGCGATGGCTTTATTTGGTCTTGGTCCGCTTCTCGGCCCGGTTATTGGCCCAGTGATAGGCGGCTTCGTTACTGAGTACCTCGGATGGCGGTGGACATTTTGTTAATCTTAATCCTGGTAAATGGGAAGCCCTAAATCGCTGTTGTCTGACTATCGTCTAACAAGAACAACATTTAGGCGGGCTTAATCTCCTTGCTTGCCCTTGTCCTAATGCGGGAAACCTTCGAGCCAGCTATCCTCGAGCGCAAGGCAGCTGCTATACGCAAGTCCACTGGCAACAATCAGCTACAGGCTCGAACCTACAACAAAGACCGTACACCAGCCCAGATCTTTACACGCGCTACAGTGCGACCCCTTAAGATGTTACTATCACCTATCATCCTCCCGCTCTCTCTCTATTGCGCCTTTATGTTCGGTCTTATCTACCTTCTTTTCACTACTTTCCCTGCCGTGTTCGAAACAACATACCACTTCGCTACCGACATCTCTGGTCTTGCATATCTCGGTCTTGGTGTGGGTATGATAATCAGCATTGGGCTGTTCGCGGTGCTCAGCGACAAGCTACTCAAGCAGCCGCGTGAGGGAACTCTCGAGCGACCGGAGCTACGTCTCATCCTTATGATCTGGTCATCACCTATTGTCCCCATCGGCTTCTTCTGGTACGGATGGAGTGCTGAAAAGGTAACTCATTGGATTGTCCCAATCCTAGGTACCATGTTCATTGGCCTCGGTGCCTTCCTGATCCTTATGCCCGCCCAGCTCTACCTTGTTGATGCATTTGGCTCTGAGGCAGCCGCATCCGCCCTTGCTACAAACACCGTTTTGCGCAGTCTGTTTGGTGCCTTGTTACCACTTGCAGGACCGCCTATGTACGCGTCTCTGGGTCTTGGTTGGGGAAACAGCCTGCTGGCTTTCATCGGCTTAGCGTTCGCTCCTCTTCCGTTGCTCTTTTACAAATACGGCGAGACACTGAGAACCAGATTTCCTATTAGCTAAGCACGTAGCGAGTTTGCAGAAGGTTCTATCATTTTTGTTCTTTTCCTCTTGTTGCACTTTTGAGGTAACAGATTTTCGATTCTTACTTTGCATGAGACATTATGTGGAGTTTACTTCTTCGTATTTCTTCATTACAACCTATTCTATACACTTCTATTATTCAATTACTTTTCTATTGCGATTCTTCGTGTTATTTCTCCCTTTGCTCACACAAAATACCTAACGTATTTGACCTTCGAGTGACGCGCACAAGCGAGCGGCGCAGTCCAAAACACATAGTAAATGCGATATTTTCTTCACTTATATCTTAACAACCACATTTTTATTTAGTTTAATTGTTATTTGACAGTTATCGATAAGGCTTTGAAACACTAGATAGCAATCTTAAGAAAATCGAAAGGCTAAATTGTTGCGGTAATCGAAAATTACATTGCTAAAAGCTAGAAATATATATATCGTATTCACAAAGTTGTATATATATTTCCAAACTCCCTAGAAAGACTAGATATGACCTAAAAAAAACATTAGCCTATATAGATCACTGTTGTTATGGTATCAAATTGTAATTTATCGTATTTACTACGTGTTTTGGACTGCGCCACTCGCTGTGAATTACGTTACGTAGTTCTAAGACACTAGCTAATGTGGATAAGGCTAATCAAAGGTATTATCATCAATAATCATAGACATCTACCTATGACCTACAGAAGCCATATCCTTGCCTAATATCCCGGAAAGCCGAAAATGGCCGAATCAACCCTGTATGATAAAGAAGGAACTAGGCCCTCGCTTTCGGAGACCCCCTTCGGAGACCCCTTCGGAGGGTCGGACTAAAGAGTTGGAAATGCAAAAGACCGGAGGACGGAGAAGGTGCCCCTGAGGAGACAGAATTACTTAAACTGGATGTCGACGAGTTGTTCGGCAGTCTTTTCCCCTGAGATTCACCACACGTATCGCCGTCTTAAGCCAACCAAACAGAATGGCACCCCAAGGCCCACCTCCCAACATTCGGCAGGCGCTGGAGTCGGCTGGTGCACATTATATGAACCTGATCGAGTTTGGCATAATCAAGGCCTTTATTGACTTTAAGGTCTTCGACAACATCCCATCCGAAGGCAGCATCTCGCTAGCTGATCTCTCCAGCAATACGGGGGGTGATGAGTCCTTGCTCCGGCGCTTCGCCGACTATTTGATTGCATCTGAGATTCTTGCGTCACCTAGCCCGAGCCATGTGGCGCATACGGCCCGCTCTCTACCCTACCGCACCACCGAGATCGCTGCCGACTTCATCTCGCATGTCTACCACTTCTTCCTCCGGCCTATGGCCACTTGGGCGACCTATTTTGAGCAGAATGGTTTGGTTGAGCCTCGTGATGCCGACAAGATCCCTCTCGGCCTCTGCACCGGTCACTCGGGACTTGACCTATATGGGGTTCTAGATGCGGAGCCGCAGCTAGCCAAGCTCTTCAACAGCGCACAGGAGCGATCCGCACGCATCTGTTCGCTAAAGGACGTATACGATTTTAGTTATGTCCGGGGGGTGCTAGTGGAGGCTGATACCACACGTCCCGCCATTGTGGACATTGGGGGTAGCCATGGACTCGCACTGGGCGAGATCCTCGTTGATAATGCATTCATCCCTGCGGCCCAGTGCACTGTTTTTGACCTTCCCAAAACAATCAAAACCATCACAAGCAATATTGAGGCCGTCAACGGTAGCCTATCAGAGGTTCAGTTTCTCGGCGGAACGATGCTCAAGCCGCTTCCCCCCGCGATCAAAGGTGCTGTGGTGTACCACTTGCGCCGCGTGCTTAGCGACTTCGTCGACAAAGACATCGTTCTGGCCCTCAATCACGTCCGAGAGGCGTGTGCGGCTGACTCGCGCGTCCTGCTTGTTGAAGAGCTGGTGAAGCCGAACCGAGGCAAATTTGCCATTGCACAGGACATCTCGGTGATGAACTTTGGGGGCAAGCGCCGGAGCGAGGCAATGTGGCGCGATCTTGCAGAGCAGGCGGGACTTCGTTTGAGCAGTGTGTTTGAGGAGGCCAAGTCGGAGTTTGCTGTTCTTGAGTTGCTTCCAATTTAGCACAGAAACTGGTCGAGACTGGATAAAGTATGAACCGCTGTAATCAGACATGAGAGTATATCTTGCTTACAAATAGTACATTATCGATCCGTGAATATGAAGATAAGATGATCAGGGCATTTTCTTGGATGTAGACTACCTGATACATAGCTTGTAGTGCCCAACTCCCTTCCGTGTACAATCTTTCAAACATATGCGCCATAGTGTCGAGGTCACGGTTGATATCGCCACAGAACCTACCACCACGAAATATTCATATTTATGGGCAAGGTTCCGACAGTTTCCCAACCTCTTACAACGCAGCTTTTGGCACCTAACAGATGACGAGGCTGACTTTTGGATTTCATTGTAATAATGGCAAGCCTTGATTTAGTTATCTACTTCAGGAACTGAGAATACCTTGTGCGCAAACATTTAACTCATTTTAACATTTTGCAGACCAGCTTCTCCCCCGAAACCATCTTCATCTTGATGGCCTGCATGCTCTCTATGACATTTTCCAGGCCACCGGATCGCACGATGAGAGGATGCGTGCGAATGAGACTCCGGTCCAACAACTCCTGCACCGTTACCTTCCAGTGCTGGCCAAATTCAAACATGTCTGCATCTGCCTTGCGGCCATGCGGTGCCGGCCATGCAATGTCTAAACCCAGCATGGCTGGCCCAATGACCCACTCGGCCTTGACAACCTTCCGTGTCGCAGCCACGGTCTCAGGATACGGGTCAAGAGCCGTATACCTTCCTCCAACCCGCCCAAGTGCGGCGTAGCATATGCTCATACTCTGTATCGTCGTGATGCAATAGAGTGCGTACCGCAGCCCGTTCTTGGTATGTGTGCGGATCTGTGCGGCACAGTCGGGGTCGTGATAGTCAAAAGTAGCTTCGGCGCCGTAGGACTTGGCCATCTCGTAGCTGCGCGGCGAACAGGTCACGATGGGCTTATATCCCGCCAGGCGGAGCAACTGAATGGCGGCAGTTCCCGAGGCAGTTCCGCCGCCGTAGACCAATACAAAGATGGGCTTTTTGGTAGGCGATAAGGGGTCGAATGGCAATTGAAGGCTTTTGAACAGCGCTAGTCCGCTTGTCATGAAGGAGGTGCACAAGGCAGCAGCGCTCTCAAAGCTCACAGCATCCGGAATCTTCACCAGGGCAAAAGCATGTGCGCCGACGTGCTCCGCGAAAGCCCCATGCATCGGCTCAAGAGGGTTCATTCCCATGATGGCGGCACAGACGCGGTCACCAACCTTGATGTTGTACTTGACTGCGTCCGGTCCAACCTCCTCGACAATGCCGGCGAAGTCACACCCTCCAATCGCTCCTGGGGTTACGTAGGGCCCTTGCATTTTGGCATCGACGGGGTTCACAGACACAACCATATTCCGCACAATGACGATATCATCCCTTGCCACTGGGATGGGCGCCGAGTGGGAGAGTTTGACACCACCATCGTCGTTACCCACGACGGCAGTTTGAGTATGATAACTCCCCATTGTTCGGGCTAATCGAAGTGAGCTGATATCGGTATTTCAAAATTGTGCGAGTAAGTGGTGCTTGATCCGAAATCTCAAGGTTCTGGAACTCGTTTTGATGGGACATCTTCAGCCCGCAAGTCATGACCTTAGTATGCAGGATATTGTTCGCGTATTCGCGCACTTCCCCACTCTTCGCATATTCCGAATTGCAGCGAGGGCAATGGACACAGACCCATGGTATGATGTGTCCTTTTAGATTCGCTATGGGTATTTTCGATGCTTATCACCGCCCCCATCAAATGTATTTCGCTTCCATGCGTAGTTCCCCTCGCGGGGTCCAATGGAAAAGATCCATCGTGACAGCATCTAAGGACAGCCTTGCATACAACCCCGAAAATGACCGATAAATGCCTGCATTTACCTATGTACTTATGTACACTTGGGAATAACCTTGGAAGATCGGAGGTGAGAATGTAGTAGGGTAGCTCGCGATGATTGGTGGGGTTTACTTTGTGGATTACCTACCTAGGTAGGTAGTTACAGACATCTCATCATGGAGATGCTCAGGAATAAGCAATCATGTCCGAAGCTATGGGGATGTAGTAGATAATTTAGATTATTCGTGAAGGTTGTTGCGAGAAACTTGAATGGTTTGATTTGGAATATTGAATCTCGTTTATCAAAGACTTATATCCTTTCCAAGATTCATATACAACATAATAAATTGAAGTTTAGGTGCTACAAGTACTCGAATTCCATAGCTAGTTTCATAATAAAATCACAATAAAAAACCCATCCAAACCCTACAAGCTACTTACATGGAGAAAACGCGTCGTAATCAATGCACTGGAATCTGCAGCTGGCCGCCTACCCCTGTCCCGTTGAATTTCTCCCCCGGTGACCCTCCGACGAACGCCTCGACCCACCCGGACTTGCCGGTGCCGTCCGGACCGGGGGCACTCGTCGGCTCACTCCACCAGGCGCGTTTGTGACGTCCTTCGAATTGCCAATGGCACTGTCGTTGTGTAGAACTAAACTCGATGATGTAGCCCACGTTTTTGTCGCGAAAAGCACCGGCGAGGCCTGTCGCCTGTTCGTTTGATTCCGGTAGAATCTTTTTGACTCGGACTGTGTCCTCGACTGCCGGTCCCTCTGCTGCTGTGTCATCGAGAACGCTATTTGCAGCGCACACAAGGTTGTGGTCACGATAAAGTCGGGCGACGGCAAAGGGCTTATGGCTAGCGGCGGCCGAACCGACGATTCGTATTAGCTGCAACATGTAGGGCCCGATATGGGCAACGGTGTAGTATGCCTCGGTCATGAACTGTGGCCAGGCGTGGGGAGACCAGCCACGTACCATGCCACCGTGACCATCATTTTCCGCGCCAATGTAAAGTTTGCGTTCCCCTTCGCTATCAGCCCTGACGGTGAATGTGAGGTCCACGGTCGCAGTCTCGGGCCCCATAGGAAACGTGTAATATACAGAGGGATATAGGAGTGCGGCTTCTTCCGTCGCCGGCAAGCTCGTCTTTTGGTTGTTGGTCAAGCTCAAAATGCTGTGCAGCGTCATTGTTCCAGATACAAAACCCGGTACAAAGAAGCGAACTATTGCAGAAGAGAGGTCTGGCGAAATTGTGAAGCTTATTGTCCTTGTGGTTTCCCCTTCATGTGCATCGGGGCCATTTCGAGACTTCCAGACCCCATCTACTCGCCCCTCGTGCGAATAAACACTGCCTTCGGCAGTGATGATAGATTTCGCGAAGTACAGCGTCTCACCCCACTTGCTGCCGTCCGGCCAGATGGCGTTGAGCTCGGCGTGGAAGCCATCTTGGTCTAGGCCACGCACATCGCGGTACAGCGAGACGCCTACAGCGGTATCACCATCATTGCTGAAGGCTTCAAACTCCCAAAGCTCCCAAGATCCATCCGTGATGCCACTGGGCATTTTTGGAAAGAGGTTCGCAGACCCCGCAACAAAGGGATCCACCAAGACGGGCTCGGCGATAACGCAACTGTCGCGGATGTCAAGAGTAGAGATAGATGTGCTGGCCATAATGTGGGGAAGAGGGATCTGTAGCAATGCTGCTGCTTTCTGGTAATAAATTTGACCACTTGACAGGCAGAGGGTCAGTAAAGTAGAGTGTTACTACCTAGCTACACGGTGGTCATCGAACTTGTTTTTATCCCTAACAAAAGATTCAATACCAAAGTATCTGCTATTTCAGACGTAATTGGAGTTCATGAGTATCGGTGATCTTCGGAATTTTTCGATTAATGGTCTGCATAGTGACGAGGGAGATACATGCAGCTTGTGCGGGATAAATTACGATGAGTTGGGTATACTCAGCTGGAATTACTGGAACCTGCTCGGCAGGAATGGTTGGCTCATTGGCTATAGCGTATTTACAAAACTGTGAGATTTGATCGTTCTAGGAAGCCGGACCATTCAGCATAGGGAATTCCATACACTAGCATTCCTTGTGAAATGAATGCCAAAAGTACAATACTATCATATGGCCAAGGGGAACGAAAACCTAACATTACTACAAGAGTCTGCCTTGGTCTTTGCTATGATCTAGTGGTTGAGATGAGTTATATTACCCCTAACGTTTATAGCAAGTCGCCAGTGCAATTTACACACTATGAATTAGCCGGTATTATCCCAGGATTTGTGACGACGAGGCTAAAGCCTCGCTCCTTTGGAAACTGTCCGATATTTGGCGAAATGATTGACTCTAGTCTCCAGACTGAATAATTTCGGCACTCTTCGGGTCCAAAAGGCCCCTGGCAAAGTTCTATGGATCGGAATAACTAGTACATATGCTACATTGGTTATAAGTCCTCTGGGGCTAGCTATAGCCATACTATATCGCTAATCAAGAATCCAAGTCACTGTTACATATAATTCGGATTCTATGGTCTTATTGAACAAAAATCATCAAAATGTCATCGCCGGACCCAATTGCCGTCATTGGAAGTGCTTGTCGCTTCCCGGGCGGCTCAGATACGCCATCAAAGCTTTGGGAACTCCTTGAAAAGCCAAGAGACCTGCTACAGAAGGTCTCTGAGAGCCGGCGCTGGCACCCCGACGCTTTTTATCACAGTGAACCTGAACACCATGGTACGACTGATGTGCAGACATCTTACTTCCTTGATGAAGACCCTGCACACTTCGACAATGCGTTCTTCAACATTCAGCCGTCGGAATGTGAGGCCGTGGACCCCCAGCAAAGGATGCTGATGGAGACTGTCTATGACTCCCTCTGCTCATCTGGCCAGACCATCGAACGGCTTCGCGGCTCATCCACTGGGGTTTTTGTTGGTACAATGTGTGATGACTGGAGCGGTATACTGTACAAAGATTGGGAGACTATTCCACAGTATAGCGCTACCGGAATGAGCCGCAGCATTATGTCTAACCGCGTGTCTTACTTCTTTGACTGGCACGGCCCATCAATGACCCTTGATACAGCTTGTTCCTCGAGTTTGGTCGCTGTTCACCTGGCAGTTCAAGCGTTACGCAATGGAGAATCTGAGATGGCGGTGGCCGCCGGCGCCAATCTCTTGCTTAGTCCGGGTAAGCCTGGATCAATCCTTTTCTTTTCTCGAGATGAGAGGAAGTACCAGCTAATTGCTTGTTGCTTTTAAAGGCATGTATATTGCAGAGTCAAATCTTCACATGTTGTCTCCTAGCGGCACGTCAAAGATGTGGGATAAAGATGTCGACGGATACGCTCGAGGAGAAGGAATCGCCTGCGTCGTCCTGAAGCCCCTGAGTGCGGCACTTCGGGACGGGGATCACATCGAATGTCTCATTCGTGGTACTGGAGTCAACCAGGATGGGAAGACCAGGGGTTTGACTATGCCGAGTGCGACAGCGCAGGCTACCCTCATTCGTGAAACCTACGCCCGAGCTGGCCTAGACATTGACAAGCCAGAAGACCGCCCCCAATTCTTTCATGCGCATGGGACAGGAACTCCCGCAGGAGACCCCCAAGAAGCTGAGGCAATATCTGAGGCATTCTATGGGAATGGAGCGTCGGATAAATTGTATGTTGGATCCATCAAAACCATCATTGGTCACACGGAGGGTACCGCAGGACTGGCGAGTCTGATAGGGACATCGCTGGCACTTCAGCACGGAGTCATCCCGCCCAATATGCACTTCAACGAGCTTAACCCTAGGATAGCTCCTTTTTATGGAAACTTGGAGGTTCCCACTTCGGCGCAACCCTGGCCACAACTTCAGCCAGGTCAAACCAGACGAGCAAGTGTGAACAGTTTTGGTAAGATAACCAAATGGATGCTCGGGATTAATTATGATGTTGAGATTGAATTGCATTCTGCTAAAGAACATGCTAATTGAGAATGAATTTCTAGGATTTGGTGGCACCAATGCTCACGCAATTATTGAAGCTTATGAGAAACCTGTTGTATCACCGTCTGTTGGCACGCTCTTCTCTCCCTTGACCATATCAGCTGCTACCGAAAAGTCACTGCGGGCTGTACTATCGTCTTACGTTGACTATCTGGAAGACAATCCGCAAGTGTCTCTCCGTGACGTTGCCTACACAGTCCAGGAAAGGCGCTCTACTCTCGCGTTCCGTGCTGCCATTGTTGCCTCTAGCGGCGCAGAGGCCGTGGAAAAGATTGAGAGCCTTCTTAACAGCGAAGATGCGCCAGAGCTGAATACAAAGCACTTTGCAGTCGGGTCCCCTCGCATATTGGGAGTTTTCACGGGACAAGGCGCCCAGTGGCCCCGCATGGGTGCTAAGCTAGTTGAGACCTCACCATTTGTCGCGAAGCGGCTGGAAGAGCTTGATGCAGCGCTCGCATCCTTGGAGAAGAACCTCCGGCCAGAGTGGACTCTTAGGGAACAGATCCTCGCAGATGCAACAACGTCGAGAGTTGCTGAGGCCGCCATATCGCAACCTCTTTGTACGGCTGTGCAGATTTTGCTCGTTGACCTGCTCAGGGTAGCGGGTATCAAACTCGACGCGGTCGTTGGTCATTCCTCAGGTACCTAGTTGCACTTATTGCTCACTTCAAACTGCTCCTCTGTGTAGAACACTCGCTGACTCACCTTAGGTGAAATCGGAGCGGCTTATGCAGCAGGATTGTTGTCAGCCACTAGTGCCATCCAAATCGCTTACCTGCGCGGCTTTTATGCTCGGCTTGCCGGGTCATGGAGTGGTGCCAAAGGAGCTATGCTGGCTGTCGGAACAACGGTCGAAGATGCCTCGGAATTTTGTGAGCTGGAGGACTTCCAAGGCAGGATTCAAGTTGCCGCCGTTAATTCTCCCTCGAGTATTACACTCTCTGGCGACGAAGACGCTGTGGCAGCAGCCATTGAGATCTTTAAGGATGAAGGCAAGTTCGCTCGCCAGCTTCAGGTCGATACCGCCTATCATTCAGCACACATGATACCATGCTCGAAACCGTACCTCGCATCCCTAGAATCCCTGGGCGATGTAAGTACCACGGGTACAAGCACTGAAGGCAAGCCCGTGTGGTATTCGAGTGTCCTGGGAGGAAAGATCATGACACAAGACGATTTAGATGCGCAGTATTGGGTATCCAACATGAAAAATACTGTGCTCTTCGCCCCGGCAGTCGAAGCTGCAGCCGCTCAAAGTGGGTCGTTCAGCTTGGCACTAGAGCTCGGACCACACGCGGCGTTGAAAGGTCCGTGTCTGGACACTCTCGCAGAGGCTCTAGGAGACCGAATTCCCTATTCTGGAGTCCTCTCCCGAAACAAGAATGACATTTCCGAGTTTTCGACAGCCCTGGGCTTTGTGTGGTCGCATCTTGGTGCGGGATCCGTCTCTTTCGATGCATTTGAGAAGTCAGTGTCTGGTGGTGCTGTGGGGCGCCACATAGTTGCCGATCTCCCAAAGTACAAATTTGATCACTCAAAGACATTCTGGACTCTTTCCAGAGCTGGGGGCGCTCAATTGATCAATCCTCACCCTCCGCATCGGATACTTGGCAAGCGTTGCGTCGATCGGGAAACTCCCCACGACATCCAATGGCGCAACATCCTGACCCCCAGGGAAATTCCTTGGCTAAAAGGTCACAGAATCCAGGGTGGCATTGTTTTCCCAGCAGCAGGCTTTGTGGCGATGGCTATCGAGTCCACAAACGCCCTCGCCGGTAAGTCGAGGATTAGCCTGATCAGGATCGAGAATCTTGTCATTGGTCGAGCCATTGCTTTCAACGACGAAACCTCATCGGTTGAGTCCCTGTTCAGTATCAGGATAATACCGTCTGGAGAAGGTATCATTAAGGCAAAATTTACTTGCCATTCTGGTGCTTCTCACGAACCCGGAACTTCTATGGGGCTCAATGCCGAGGGAGTGGTGACTGTGACGCTGGCGGAGCCAGATGCCGACACAATTCCCTTCTTCGAACCTGAGGACTTCAACATGACAGAAATTAAGCCTGAACGGTTCTATGACCAGTTTGAAAGGCTGGAGTATGAGTATTCGCCACCTTTCCGCGGTATGCTCTCGATTCAGCGCAAGAAGTCTCATGCAAAGGGAATTATTGAGGATCAGTCTGGATCAGAGTGGGAGGATCAACTCCTCATTCATCCAGGCATGCTTGACACTGCCTTCCAGTCTTCTTCGGCAGCCTTCAGCTGCCCTGGAGATGGAATGATGTGGGGTCTCTATATTCCTGCTGGCATAGAGTCAATCATCATTAACCCTTTCTTCACGTCCGGTGGCGCGGGCAAACAGCAAACTTTGCCTTGGGAATCAATTGCCCGAAGCATGAAAAACGCTCGTAGTACCATGGACATTAATATTTTCTCTCAAGACCACTGCCATACCTTCATACAGGTTGAAGGCCTTGAATTGATGCCATTCACAGCTAGTCGACCCGAGGATGATGCCGTGATCTTCTCTAAACTTGAATACAATATTGATCGACCCAGCGGTGGTGCTGCTGTCATCGATGACGGATTTACGACAGAAGCCCTGGAAAACGCAATAAAGGGAGAGCGTGTGTCTTTCTACTACTTGCGCCGGCTGGTTGAGACCATCACATCAGAGGAAAAGGCCGTCGCTCTACCGTATCACCAGCATTTACTGAACTGGTCTAATCACGTTGTTGATGGTGTCAAGAGTGGCAAGAACCCTTTCGTGCCGTCAAGCTGGCAGCTAGACACAGAGGAACAGATCAGAGCTATCTGGGATGAGTATGTAGCAGACCCCGGGTTTTCCAACGGTGAGACATCATTAACACAGCGCTTTCTAGGTATGGTGATCGAGTTGATGTGCGTCTTATCGAATCCGTGGGTAAAAATCTCCCAGGCGTTATCCGCACCAGAACCAGTATTCTTGAGCATATGGAAGGACTGTTTGAATTCTACGACCAAGGTCTAGGTCTCGACATGGCAAATCGCCACCTAGCGCGCATGGTCTCTCATATTGGCCATCGCTACCCACAAATGAAGATCCTCGAAGTTGGTAAGGTAACCTATACCTTCTTCACTGGCGGCGCTAACGGAAAAAATTCAAGGCGCTGGAACTGGCGGGTCTACAAGAACAATACTGTCCTATCTAGGGGACATGTTTTCCAGCTATACCTATACCGACATATCGAGCGGTTTCTTTGAAGCTGCCCAGAAACGCTTCAAGGATTTTGAAAGCCGTATGGTATACAAGACATTCGACATGGAGCGGTCCCCGATATCTCAAGGTTTCATCGAAGGGTCATACGATGTCATCCTAGCTTCTAATGTTCTTCATGCAACAGACAAGCTAGAGGAGATGATGACCCATGTCCGCCAGCTCCTCAAGCCTGGTGGCTATCTTGTTTGCCTAGAGCTGACAAGCAATGATACCATTCGTGTTGGCCTACCCATGGGGAGTTTGCCCGGATGGTGGGTAGGAGCAGAGAACGGGCGACCGTGGGGACCAACAGTAACATTACCACAATGGGATACTTTGCTACGCAAGTGCGGCTTTGGAGGAATTGACACGAGCACACCCTTGCTACACAAGCTTCATGTTTCTACGGTATTTGCAGCACAGGCCGTTGATGACCGTATAAAAATGCTTCGATCCCCCTTGTCGTCAATTAATGCTCTTCCATCTACCGATGCGCCACGCCTTGTGGTCGTTGGAGGCAAAGAGCTCATAACCCACCGCATCGCAGAGCGGGTGGTGGATCTTCTAACTCCTAGATTCAGTGAAGTTTTGCGCGCCACCTCCGTCGAAGAACTGGACTTGGAGGTGCTCCAGTATTCGAGCACTTTACTGTCGCTCACGGAGCTTGACGAGCCTCTCTTCAAACAATTCACGCCAACCAAGCTTGATGCGCTCAAGACTCTCTGGCGCCAAGCAGGAAAGGTTCTTTGGGCTACTCGAGGTGCAAGGGCGGATGAGCCATTCTCAGCCATGATGCTTGGCCTTGGAAGGGCCATGACTCACGAATATCCAAATATGTCGTTGCAAATACTCGACCTCGATAAATTTGACGACGAAGAAAAGACTGCCCAGCTGCTAGCCGGAGACATTCTGCGCTTGGAAGTGTTGAAGAAATGGCAGTATGAAGCTCAAGGTGAAGTGGACTTTCTCTGGTCCTTCGAGCCCGAGGTGTGCTACGAGGCCGACTCTATATTCATCCCCCGGCTCTACAAGTGCTCGCCTGCCAACGAGCGATACAACAGTGCTCGGCGCTCAGTCACTCGAAATATCAGTCTCCAAGAACCTTTGACATTTGTCAGCGAGGGCTCGTCATATGAGGTTCAACAGCCCTCACCCCTCCGCGTCACGACCATCCCGTTTGAGCTTGCCGAGACAACAATCATTCAAATCTCCCATTTCCTCTTCCAGACCATCCAAATTTGCTCTTTCGGTAGACTAATGCTCTGTGCTGGCACTGACCAATCTACCGGAAAACAATTGCTTGCCCTGTCGCACTCAACAGAGGCTCGACCAACGGTCCTGGCAGACTGGACATTGCCCCTCTCCATCCAATCTCCCGATCTACCTAAAACTTTAGCCGATGTCGCTTCTCATCTGACCGCGATCAATATATTCAAGTTGGCCCATGAGGGAAGTAGAATTGTTGTTCACGAGCCTGGTGAGCTAATTGGCGCAGCCTTGACGCAGCATGCTCAGAAATCCTCAATCCAAGTCGTGATAACTACATCAGTTAAGGACCACTTCCGTGATGGCTGGCTTTACCTCCCCGACAACCTTCCTCGTCGACTTATCAAGAAAGCTTTGCCGGCTTCTATCTCGTTGTTTGTCGACTTTTCCAAATCTCCTGGGTCCATAAAGGCTGGCCAGCATATTGGAAATTGCATTCCTGAACTTTCCGCAAGGTATCGCTCCGAAGATTTCTACGGCATGACAACTGAGGTTCGGTCTGGATCATCTTCCAGGCAAATTGCAGAGGTATTCAAAGCGGCGTTTAGCGCAGCTTGTGAGAGCCCGAATAAAGCTGGAAATCATACTTCGATCAGGATCCAGGATATTGCAGCGTTTTCAGTGCCTGACACGCCTTTGGCAGTCGTCGAGTGCTTGGAACCTGACACGTCTATCCCCGCCAAAGTCCAAGCAATTGACTCAGGAGTTATATTCCAACCCGACAAGACTTATTTCCTAGTCGGTATGTCAGGACAGGTTGGGCAATCCCTTTGCCAGTGGATGGTGGAACATGGCGCTAGGTTTGTTGTCTTGACAAGCCGTTCGCCAAAAGTGCACCCCAAGTTCATCACGTCAATGGAGCACATGGGTGCTATTATCAAAGTATACCCTCTGTGAGTATCATGTGCCACCAAATGGAAAATCTATCCTACTCCTCTAACAACCTTGGAATCTATATAGAGATATTACTAGCCGGGAGTCCCTTGATGAGTGTTACAAGGATATCTCACAGACAATGCCTCCAATTGCAGGCGTAGCCCAAGGAGCGATGGTGCTGAGGGACTCTATGTTTGACGGGCTGACCTTCGAGAATATGACCGCTGTCCTGGAGCCGAAGGTCACTGGTACCCAGCTCCTGGACGATCTCTTTTACGATACTCCCCTGGACTTCTTTATCGTCATGTCATCTTTGACTTCCGTTGTCGGAAATAGTGGTCAGAGCAACTACACAGCGGCTAATATGTTCATGGTGGCGCTCGCTGAGCAACGCCGAAGACGGGGGGTTGCTGGCTCCGCCATCGCTATTAGCTCCCTCATCGGCATCGGCTACATCGAGCGATCGTCAAACTTTGATGCCGAATACTTCGAGAAGATTGGGTACAGGAACATATCCGAGCCAGACCTGCATCAGCTCTTCGCCGAGGCTATCCTTGTCGGTCAACCAGGCTGTCGCGAGAGCTCGGAGATTACAACTGGTCTAGAGCCATTTTATCCCGAGAGAAATGCTAAGGCACAGTTCTTCGAAGACATCCGGTTCAATCACTTCATTCTCGAACATCAGGTTACCCAGAATTTCGACGGTAAAAGCTCAGCAATGCCTGTTCGAGTACAGCTTGCTCAGGCCAAAACAAAGGATGATGCTGTCACTATTATCAAAGGTACTTGAATGGTATTTGAAGGTCTGGATAATGCTAATCGAGCTATGGCGGAAACAGAGGGCTTCCTCGCGCGATTAAGGCGTACCTTGATGATATCCGAAGATGAAACTGTCAATGAGAAGGCATCTCTCGTGGAACAGGGGATTGACTCACTCATGGCAGTTGAAGTACGCTCGTGGTTCTTGAAAGAACTTGAAGTCGACATACCGGTTCTCAAGATTTTGGGTGGAAGCTCTATCACGGACCTTCTTGCTGAGTCCATGGAACGCGTGCCAAAAACAGTAGTAGATCTCAATTCGCTCTCTAACATGAAGGCTGTGGCCCCTATCAGGTCTTCTTCCGAGTCCCAGAGTATACAGGAGGCAAAATCAGGGACGAGCACACCGCCAGTGATTGGAACGCCAATGTCAGACATTCCAGAGTTGGTAGTGCATGCGAAGGCGGTGGATGACATCAAAGTCCTACAGGAAGCTAAAGAAGAGAGCTTTCAGATGTCTTATGGCCAAGATCGATTCTGGTTTTTGAGTGACTATCTCGAAGACAAGACGAGCTTTAATATGACGGTTATGTTCAAACTAACCGGTAAGATCCAGGTAAATCGTCTCGAACAGGCTGTTCGAACAGTTGCTCAACGTCACGACGCGTTAAGGACCAGGTTCTATTGGTCCGGAGAGGGTGACATACGCACACCAATGCAAGGCATTGTCTCTCAGTCGTCTATTCACCTAGAGCACGTTAAGCTTGAATCAGAGGTGGATTCGAAGGAGGAACTACGCAAGATGCATGAATACGTCTGGGATATGAACTCGTGGGAGGCGGCAAGAATGGTTCTCCCCACCGTTGACGATAACACGCACTACTTCATGGTTAGCGGTCATCACATATCATGGGATGGTTACAGCTTTACTGTTCTGTTTGTCGACCTCGATTCAGCTTACAGCGGACGGCCGTTAGCACCGCTGGGCCCCGATTGCCAGTATCCAGCCTTCTCCTTGTGGCAGAGAGAGACCTATCAGACCGGTGCCATGAAACAGGCGATTGACAACTACTACCGTCCTATGATTGACCCTCACGCCAAGGCGATTCCTCTGTTCCCCTTTGCCAAGTCTCCGAGGCGGCCACTACTCGACCACTTTGAGCAGTTTGAGGCCAAGGCCACGCTTGAGCCTGCTCTTGTATCAAAGCTCAAGAAGGTCTCCCGGAAGAATAACGCAACCATGTTTCACCTCTATCTCGCTGCTCTCCAAGCGCTCGTCTTCAGTCTGCTCCCCGAGGAGCAGGAGTTCTATCTTGGACTTGCAGATGCCAATCGTATAGACAAGAGGTTTATGGGAAGTCTTGGCTTTTTCCTCAACCTCTTGCCGGTGCGCTTTGATAGAAGTGCTCCGGGAACAAAAGTCAGTGAAATCATCAAGGACACGCGTAACAAGGCATATAAGGCACTCGAAAACTCATCGGTGCCCTGGAACGTACTTCTGCATGAGCTGAAGATTCCGCGTACAAACACCGAGGCCCCCATCTTTCAGTTGTTTGTCGACTACCGTCAAATTGCTCGAGACAGGACGCAGTGGTGTGGGTGCGATCTGAGTGATGAGGATTGGCTGAACGCGCGAAATGGCTATGACTTGACGCTTGGTATTACTGATAATCCCACTGGTGAATCCTTGCTGTCACTGCGCTTGCAGAAGAAGTTGTACTCGGAGAGCAGTACCGAACTTTTACTCCGATCATACGTGACTGTGCTGAAATCGTTCGCCAGTGGCGTGGATCTTGATGTGTGCGAGCTGCCACTATGGGCCCCCAGTGATGTTGAAGCGGCGTTAAAAGTTGGAAGAGGTGAGAATCTTGGATTTCGAATGATATATACCGCAGTTTCAAACTAATGTAGTACTATCAGGCCCGACTCTTCAACTCGAATGGCCGGCGACCGTTTCTCAACGCATCGATCAGATGATCGAAGAGCATACAGCGCATCTGGCATTGAAAGATGGCCTTGGCAACCAATTTACATACGGCCAAATGAGAGACCGTATCACTGCAATCGCAGCGGCTCTTTTAGCTGCTGAGGTTACTGAAGGTTCTCCAATCGGCATCTTCCAGAACCCATCTGCCGACTGGATCTGTTCAATGCTCGCGATCCTGCAGGTTGGAGCTACGTATGTGCCTTTGGATCCTCGCAACTCGATGAGCCGTATTGTTAGCATTGTCGAAGCAGTGAACCCGGTAGTTATCTTAACGGATCGTTTCAATGTTTCCACGGTTCCGCAGATCAAGGCTAGCAAGGCAGTTGACATCGTCGTGTCTGACATTCCCACGTCAGCATCAACGCCTAACTCACCGAACAGAGCCAAGCCAGAGTCTCGTGCAGTTATTCTCTTCACAAGCGGCACTACGGGGAGGCCCAAGGGGGTCGTTTTAACCCATGCGAATCTACGAGCACAGTGTGAGGGCTACTCACGCATGGTCAATCTACCGTCAATGGTGTCTGTAGTTCTTCAGCAAACGATCTACAACTTTGACATCTCTCTTGACCAGATATTTGCCGCCCTTGCTGAGGGCGGCTGCCTCTACATCGTGCCTGCCGAGAAAAGAGGGGACCCGCAGGCCATTACAGAGATTATGGCAGAGGAGGGCGTAACGTACACAGTCGCTACGCCTTCAGAGTACGAGACCTGGTTCCGATACGCTCCCGAAAATTTGGCGAACTGCAAGTCATGGGGGTATGCATTTGGCGGGGGAGAGCACCTGCATAAAGGCCTTATCGACGAGTTTGCGAAGCTCGCAGCCTGGCAGATTCCTGGGCTGAGACTCTTTAACAACTATGGCCCCACTGAAGCCTCGCTTGCCATCACGAAGGGTGAAGTTGAACATAGTAGTCCTAATCTAGAGGACCACGTTCCCGCGGGCTGGATCATCCCGAACTACGCGGTTGCCGTGGTGGATGACAAGCTAAACCCTGTGCCATTTGAGACATCGGGTGAGATTGTCGCCGGCGGTCCTGGTATTGCTCCCGGATACCTGGAGCAAATCCATCTGACCCACGAAAAGTTCATCCCTGGTGACAGAATCCACCTACTTGCCACGGCGAGCAGCAATATATGGTACCGTACTGGAGACCGTGGCCGACTGCGCCAGGATGGGGCGCTGTACGTCGACGGTCGTATCCTGGGCGACTCCCAGTTCAAGATCCGCGGATTCCGTGTCGAATTGCAGGAGATAGAGGCTGTTATTCTGAAAGCCTCAAAAGGCGCATTGTCCCATGCTATTGTTAGCGCAAGGGGAAGTGGAGAAGACCGCTTCTTGGCTGCTCATGTTGTGTTCACGTCCGATTACCCTCAACACCGCCGCGAAGTCATACTTCAACATCTCGAGTCCAAACTTCCCCTGCCTTCGTATATGCAGCCGACTGTTTTCGTACCCCTCGCCAGAATCCCTGTAACCAACAACTTCAAATTGCACCGCGACGCTATCCAAGAATTGCCCCTGCCAGAATCCGACGGCCGTGAAGAGAACCTAGCCGACCTGGAGACAAAGGTAGCACAATTGTGGAGGGACATCATTCCGCACGGTGTGCGCTCGCTGACGGCTGAGACCGACTTCTTTAACGTCGGTGGAAACTCTATTCTGCTCGTGAAGCTAAAGGCTGCAATCCGGCGCGAGCTGCAGGTGTCACCGCCATTGATTGATTTGATGAACTCCAGCACATTGGAGGGCATGGCGCGCCACGTCAGAGCTTCTACGGCTGCCAAACGGTATGGAATCGACTGGGAGGCGGAGACCAGTGTCCCAGAAGAATTGCGCCAACTCGCGCGAGAGAACCTACCACAAAAGGATAACAAAACCGAGAATCTCAGGATTCTTTTGACAGGGGCAACGGGCTATCTCGGCGGCCACATTCTAGCACGCCTCATTGAGGCGCCAGAGGTTAGCGAAATTCATTGTCTTGTCCGAAAGGAGAGTCTCCAGATGATCAGCCACAGCAGCCCCAAGGTCCGTCCCATCACTGCAGACCTCACCCAGCCGCGACTAGGCCTCACAGATGCGGAATTTGTCTCCATAGCAGAGCACACCGATGTTATTGTTAATTTTGCTGCTAATCGCTCCTTCTGGGATGGGTACGAGACGTTGAGAAATGTTAACTTTGAGGCCGTCAAGGCGCTTGTCGCACTATCTGTGCGAGCTGGTGGGGCGCCACTACATACTATGTCATCCGGCGCCGTTCACTTTTATGGCGACAGCGAACCGCCAGTGGATGGAAGTGATGGCTACGTGGCTAGCAAGTGGTCGACAGAGCGATTCCTGGCAAAGGCGTCCAGTGAACTTGGCACAAGGGTGTTTATATACCGACCTGTTGCTGCTTCTATGGAAGAGAAAGAAGCCAAGGATGTCGATGTTGACAAGGAAGCCATCCAAACCGATCTTACAAATATTCTCCGTATGCTCGGCAAGAGGCCAGACTTTCTCGCCGTTAGCGGCTACGTCGATGTGATACCCGTTAAAGACCTTGTGGAGGACATGGCTAAGTCTATCGTGGGAGGGGAAGACAGCGATGGTGTGCACATGACAGAGCACAAGGGCCAATTTCGGCTGCGCATTCAGGACTTTGCGCAGCTCATAGAGAGGGAAGACCAGCTTAAAGCACTGCCGACGATGAATCCGCTGTTCTGGTTTGCGGATGCGAAGAAGGCAAGGTTCGCGCAGCTGATCACGGCGCAGAGGTTGGTGATGGGACACGGAAAGGAAGAGGTAGTCAGTCGACGATGAGGGATTGGATGGTTGGAAGTGAGTAATCGATGTAGTGCTGGTTGAAAATGGGTGTTATATGTACAAAACAATATATCTCCAATGCTAGCTGGCCATTAGGCTATTTTTCTATTTATGTTCCTATTTTTAGGTGTGTTTATCAAAAGTAGATAGCTAATTGACCCCCATGCTCTTTCGAGAGCAACCAAAGAAAAATAAATAAGTAAAGGAAATATCTTTTATTCTACTGGTATCTAGTGTGTGAATGCCAGAACTTTGACATGTGTTGTATATGTGTGGTGGACATAATCAGACAAAATATCTACAAGTCCGCTTTCTCTCGCAGAAGTTGCTTGATCTCTGCCACTTCGTCCGCCAGCGCTCGAAATACTAGATGCGTGTTGGACGTCGCATCAGATAGTCCTTGCCATGGCTGTGGCCATACATGGTGTAGGGCTTTAACATCCAAATCAGCAGGCATTGCCTTCTCGGCCTGCTGAAGCGACTCTAGTAATACACAGATACCTGTGTGTACATTACTGCGTGGTGCGTTACTCTGTGGTACATCGGCCAAGCACGCGTCTGGCCCCAACCTCATATTCAATTGAGACGTACACACCTGACGTCCACTCGGTTGGGAATGCAGGTAGTTCTGGAATTGATACAGGACGACTGTGTAAATCTTGGTCAAAGTCACATAGCAACTGAAAAGGATGGGTGCGACCGCTGGGTCGGTGAAGATGCTACTGTTGAACCCATGGACAAGGCTAGTAAAAGTTTGTGATAGGTGCAAGACGCTGCCAATGGGGTAGTGTTGTACGTCTTGAAATGAGCATTCCGATCGCCATGATATTGTTTCCAGTACCGCTAGTCGTGTGTGAAGATCAGCGACGAGTCTGAGGAGCATTCCCATGGAAGCTGTTCCATCCAATGCCGTGCCATTCACCTCTGATCCAGGGCGACCGCTCGAGCTCTGAGTTTCGTTCGTCACTGTAGTCAACGCCTGGGGCATCATTGGACCACGCTCTATGTTCTCGTCATCGCGAGATTGGCCGGGAAGCGTCTCGTAATTCCCATAGGGCTGCATATCACCAATACCCGTCACCATTGAGTTTGTGTACATAAAAGGAGCATTCGCGTTGTCCCCGATGTTAAAGGTCCCCGGAAAATGCAATTCATTTTCCAACGGCCAACGGACGTAGGCATCTTCAAACGGAAATAGTTCCGCTATACGCTGGTTGTCGGGAGTTTCTGATCTTGCTAGGGTCGCATCTGCCTCAGCGGGACCTGGCTTCACACCTCCGCGAAGCTGGACACGCGAGGGGTTCAATGACCTGGTGGCGTCACAATCCTGGACATCATCCTCCAAACCACGTGTAATTTGCACACTGCTCTGACCTGCTCTGACATTCCTTGTCGCACGTCGGGATTTAGTTCGTCGGCTAAAGATGCAGGGGGTACCTGCGCGAATGCATCTCTGACAGCGTCCGAATTCAGGACCACCGCTCTCGATATCAGACGCAAAGCAAGACCGCGCCGGGTGACATTTTAGCTTATGGAATCGACACCTGTCGCAGGTGGTACGGATAGAAAGATACGCTTCTGGGTTGCCAGACATCGTGACTAGCATAAAATACTCGGGGCCAGTGGTTTATTTCTTTCTCTGCGCACATAGATGTAGTTCTATGCAAGATAATTATGATTGTTATATGGTACCCGTCCACGGGTGGACCTCAACAAATTTGTCATGGATGTACATATGGTCACGTAATCTTACCTACTCTCGCGCTACTGCGCAAACAAGCCTTGGGCACTAGGCTTATCACTGGCCCAGTGGCGTTAGGCAGGTGAAACAACGCATCTTGAGATGTCGAATACCAAGTTGATTGCAATTGAAACCGGTATTATACCAACATCATGTGACTTCGAGTACCAGGCATACCATACAAAAGTGCATAATACACTTAGTCATCGATGTCCGTATACCTAGGTAGATTGTTGAAATAGCGGGTTTTGTCATTTTAGAGAGAATCACCCACACCATACCATTCAATACAGTCAGATTTCTGTCAAATGTCACTAAGGGCATCGTCGGCCGATTACCCATAATATCGTGACGAGATTTAATACTCTTGTATCACATAAGTCATCATATATTTCCTTTTATCCGATGTTACCGTCTACGCGACTCCACAGATACCGCCGTCGGATCGGCGATAATTATGCGAGGCGATATGGAGATAGTACCGCCGAAGCATAGCCAATCAAGGACTAATGATCCAGTACACTTTTGGTCCAGCTCTACTTTTGTGTGAGGTAAATTCAGCAGATTAAAAACACTAACGCTGGTTGCAGAGGAGTACAGCGTCTCCACTAGTGTCAGCTTCCAAGCCCAATAAAACTAGACCTTCCATACTTGTGTATGCAGTTGGACTAAGACATCAAGGGTCTGGCCATATCCCGCGGCCTCGACCAGCCAGTCAGTCCTGCAGGTGGCATGACGTGGATGACTGGCTTTATAGATACCCTGCTACGACCGCCCGGCCGAGAAATACGCTAATGCATGCACCTCACTAGTAATAAATTCCATTGTATACAGCAAATTAAATACCTAAAAAGGCATAAGCTAATGTATTCGGTAAGCGAGCTGCGCGCGCAAGCCAGCTGCGCAGCCCAAAACACATAGTAAAAGTGATGCGCTTGTCATATATACTTCAACAACCAACGTTTTTATCATGTTAAATTTCTTGCCGATAGCAACCGATAAGCATTTTCAATGTTATATAACAATTTCGACTAAATCAAAAGCCCGCATTGCCATGGTATCAAAAAATACATCGCTGCGACCGAGAAATATATATATCTCTATCAAAAATTTATTAAATTCCTATAAAGTCTATATAATAGCTAGATATCATATAAAATGCATTAGCCTACAAGGAAAGGTTCATATACACAACCGTTGTTGCGATATCATGTTGTAATTTATCGCTTTTACTACGTGTTTCGGGCTGCGCAGCTGGCAGCTCGCTTACCGAATACGTTACATACTATTCATCCATTAGTAATGATCAATAGTATTGGTATTACCAGTATAAAAAATAAGTACGTGCATATACATTAGCGTAGTTCTCGGCCGGGCGTCATAGCAGGGTAGACATTAGGGTCTAATTTCATGGAATCTAACATTCTTCGAAGGATTCGAAGAATTCTGATGCCACGTGTTTCTTCCCATTGCACAAAATATATCCTGGTCTGCGCGACATATACTCCGTATCATGCACCGAAATTACAAATTCGGGGTACCCCTTAGGCATCCAAATTATGATAGCATACCGCTCGAACCGCCGCTCACGACATGAGCGGTGCAGCTAGTATTTGGCTCTCTTCCAGTTTCAACGTCCTGTCCATTCATTGACATGGTCATTGAACGTTATAAACCTTACCTAATACAAATATTAGTTATAGTCTAGTTACTTTAGGCTATACCATATTATCTGCTAAAGTGCTAACATTTAATATATATATATCTCTGGTTTCTTCGATTTTTAGGGATTGCTTCAGCGCTAGGCGGTTAATATCTTATCAATTTAGCCTTAGTTTCGGCTATAGTAGGGGTAATCTTTCAAATAGATCTTAATAGAACGATTCCGGGCTTATAACTGATAGAAATCTGACTATATGATTAGTCTTCCGCACGACCCAGTAAAACCCAGACCCAACCCAGACCCAACCCAGTCTGGGGCCCCAAACTGGGTTAAAAACTATACAAACACGCTAATTATGTACATAATTCAGCTGATTTAGCTAGTTTATGACCGCCAAGACCCCCTTGTATGCAAAAACTGGGTCGAACTGGGCCTAAACTGGGTTTTCTGGGGCCCCAGTCACTGGGTCTGGGTTGGGCCTGGGTTATGAGGTTTTGACCCAGACCCAGACTGGGTTGGGTTCTGGGTCGAGACCTTCGACCCAAACTGGGTCGTGCGGAAGTCTAATGCCGATGAACTGGCCACTAAGAACACTACTACCAATTGAAACTAAGGCAGGGGGGGGACGGAGGATAAGAAGTGAGAGCGAGAAGTGAGAGCGAGAAGTGAGAGCGAGAAGTGGGATATGGGAAGTGGGAGTTGGAAGGTGGAGGGTACACTCCACGGCAATCATTTAATAATTTCTTATGTATGGGATTGAGTATGGGATTGGGTTTACGGGATTTACGGGTTACAGAAACGGGCTGATTCCACGCTCTTTTGCTCACCATCTGTACTCCTCTGGGATTCGGCGTTAGGACTCGAGTTCTTGCTTCAGTTGGAAGAAGCGCCTGCATAGTCATACGCAACTAGTTAGACTGCAACAGGTTAATTGAACTTTGATTGATTGATTGATTGATTGTTATTTCGTTAGTGAATTCGAGATCATAAACTTTAGATAATTAGCTTTGATAAAGGTAGTAAAAGCGATCAATTTCCACTCACAGTATGATCCCGGGAATGTGATAAATCGAGAAGGGTCCATCCATGGCTGAGGGCCAGATTTTGCTTGTCGAATGCCGAATCCAAAATCAACCTCGGCGACTCCAAGCCGCTTATATATCTAGCACTGCCCGAATCTGGTTTTATGAGGTTTGATGACAGTTTGAAAATATATAGTAGCATAGGGGGTAACGGCAACTAGAATAGAGTAATATAGTAATAAACAAGTAATCAAGTGATGGCAGGGAGAGTGGAGTGTAGATTCGACGAAATGAACGGTTTGCTTAACCGGGGTTTGAGTAAATAGTTGTGTATAGTTATTTACTCGTTTTCTACCCTAAATGCTCTAGCAGACCGGTCGAACGACCGTTTTTTTAAAAAAAAAAGTTTGCCCAGAAATCAGTGTAATAGGTTAATTACATGGGACTAAATAGTTTAGATCTCTGCACCGCAACTTTAGCGCTGGGTGAATCCCACAGGGGTAGACTGTTGTGTAGAGCCGATCCTGAATGCGCTCGATGCAGCCATGATATCGGGGTAATTCACCTATGTGCACTATTTCGAAATGGCCCCAATCACAACTTGTTCCCAGTCTGGTATTGGATAATTATGAATCTAGCAATCATTGCTCCCACACTTCCCGTTTCAGTGTATCGGACCTCTAGCCCCAAAGTGAGTGGGTCACACAATTCCGCCAAAAGCGAAAGAGTAAACCTGCCCTAGCCATCCATCCTTCTTTTTGATCTCCAAGTTTGTCCTCCCTCTCAGATTCACCGTCCTTTACGGCATTGCCCATGACACCCCCGCCAGCAAAGTTCAGAGATAATGTTGCGATGCGTCTACTCCAAAGCACTGCCCCCATTATCAAGATCCTAGGTACTGCCCTCATTGCCTGGAAGACTGCATGTGTAACCACCGGTTCTGCATATCCCCTTATGGTGGTCTCCTCAGGATCAATGGAGCCAACCTTCCACCGAGGGGATCTCATATTTCTGTGGAACAGACAGCACAGGATTCACGCTGGTGATATTCCCGTGGTATGGTTCGACGGTCGTCCACTACCGATGGTCCATCGAGCCATTCAGGTCTCTCAACAGGGGATGGGTGGGGGATCGTTCTCAAAGTAAATACTCCGCTCTTGCTCTTTGCGCAGGCCCAAAGCTTACTTACGAGGACAAGGCAACTCATCTTGACCAAAGGTGATAACAATGCTGTCGACGACACTGCGCTTTACCCAGAGGGTCAGTCTTTTGTCTACCGCGAAAATGTGGTTGGATTGGTTCGTGGCTATATTCCTTATGTTGGGTGGACCAGTCTTCAGCTCAAGGAGAGTCCGTTGATCTTGTACATAGTCGTGGCTGTATTATTTGCTGTTGGCATGGTGTCATAGAACACTCAGCAACACAGATCCCAAGAGTGAAATACATGGGCGAGTGAGACACCCCAAAATACTTAATATATACTTCAACCAAAAACAAACCGCTACTGCACTGGTTGAGATTCAGAGTAATCAAAACATGGTATTTAATATGGTGTTTCGGGGTGTTCTTACAAATTCCCCTCACTCGCCCGTGGATGACAACCTTAACTATTTGTTGTGACCAAGTCCTGTCGCCCGGAGCGCGACACTAGTCTGTAATAGGCCTGCTATTGATGTTGGCTATTTATGCCACTGAAACAAGACCTATCGGAACTATTTGTTAGAATTATATCCACCCACATCAGGCGGGTAGATCCCTGCACATCACCGCATGATTGGGTGGGCCGCCTGGGTGTCTCCGTACTCCGTACAGTGATACAGTGTACGGAGTAGTCCGTATCAGCTAACACTATGGCTTAGAACGACCAACGACCCGAGATATTGAAGCCGCGCTGCGACTCAGATCTCCGCGTCCGAGACTGGCGCACAGGGACACTTAACGACAATCGTAACATGGGGCCACAAATTTCTTACAGTATCAACACAGTGTATATGTACAGTGTTAACAACCGAATATACTCGTTACAAAAGAGATTATAGGAGTAATGATAATGATCGAATGTACATGTATCTGCACAGCCAGCTGTATGTAACATCGAGGATCTGTCATACTCCCAACAGAGAGGCCATATCTTTGCCGTCGATTACGGCATCTTCCCTGTTCCACATTTTTCCGATTCAGCGCCGTCTTTCTGGTTTTTAGGAGAATACGATGATGGCATGCTGCTGTACTTAAGCAAGGTGGCTAGGAGCACACCAATAATAGACGCCTACAAACGTACTGTTAGACATATCGTAGGGGATATCTTGTAGTAGGGGTCCTACCAATGAGAGGTCCATGCCTTCTGCAACCGTCAACTCCCATTCAGGGCGTTTACCAGGCACATATACCGAGAGTATATCCGTAAGCTTTGCTGCCATAGCCAGCGCACCATTGTGATAGACATGCGTCTTCACTTTCCATATATCCTGTCCGCGGACTTCTAGGATCGTGTCCTCGCCGCTTGCGGCGGCATTCTTGATGTGGACGTCAAACTTGTCTTTAAAAGCACTCCATTTCGTCGCGATTGCGGCAATGGGCTCAGCATCGCTTTTTGCACCAGGGAGGTGAACAAACCACGTCACACCGGACTTTTTACGATGGAGTTCAAAAAGCGGCAGACCTGAGGCATCTCGAAAGTGCCGTCGCTGGCTCAAGGATCCGAAATCACCGTCGACGGAAAATAATTTGGTAACGGAGCCTCCTTCACTTGGGAAAGTGAAGATGGTGAAGTCGCCTCCGGACCAGCTCTTGCTGTGTTGCTTGACCCTGATGGCCGTGGGGCAGGACGCAATGTATTCTGGTCGAATTGCGATTGGCTTTTTGAGGATTGTTGGTGTCGATGCCATGGCCTTTGACCGGGTCTGAAGAGGAAGTGTTCGATCAGTTGGGCTCAGTAGCAAGGGATCATGGGAGGAGCTAACCTCATCCCCTCTTGCGCCAGGCGGAGGGTTGTACGTATTATTTGTTGACAAGGTCATCTGATTACATGGCTCTACCTGGGCCAAGGGCAGAAATTAAGGCCATTAGCGCCCCCAACAAAGGCGTAGTTGCCCAGCCACCAGAACCAACTCAGGTGCAAACAGCAAACCCTGTCAGTTGGTGGATACAAGTGGGGGAACAGCTTCCAGAGTAAACTAGGCCGCGAAACAGTCCCTACTGATAGCGGAGAGGTTCCGATGGCTTTTCACAAAATCATAAAGTTCGATTTCTCAAATAGGTTATCTCAATGTGTCTATGGAGTACAATTTCGGAACTAATTAGTCAAAATAGAAAACTTGGCGCGCTTAATGACGATGTACATAACTCTCTTCCGGATCAGGTGTAGGATGTCTCAATCGGCTAAATTGCAAGAACTCCGGTCAGTTCTGATCCTTCGCGCGTTTGAAGTTGGGGGCCAAAAAGTGTTGATTGATTTATTGATTGAAGCTCTTATACGGAGTACCTGTTGCAGGTCTTTCTACCGTCGAATGTGCTATGCAGGTTGGTACGCCCTATCTGGCACCGTAGAACCTATCCTAACGCACTTCCCAAAGTAATAAATGGCTAGGTACCCAATTAGTGATATAATATATATTATAAATTTACTGTGATATTGGGCGCCCCCTATAACTCGGATCGTTTATATTGGTCTTAGCAAGTACTCATGCTAACTTCACATATAGCAGTCCGAGTAATACTACTAATATCATAGTATGCTAAAGCTAAACGAAGGATGCGTTTCCTCTCCCGCCTTTTATTCCGTTTATAGTAAGCTATCCCCACTTAAGATCTACCTCCAGGTCCTAGCCAAGTCAACCGAAGCATAGGCTTTCTTTGGTAGGTGTCTCATAAAGGGAAATGTGCCGGTCGTAGGATTCATCCGTAGTCTCCAGGTGCCAGCAATAGGTCCCTAACTATTGCATTTACCTAGAGCCTTGCCTAGCAATTTACTTACTGCTAGGCCACTCACCGGCGTCAAAAGATGTTACAGCTGCAGCTTTTGAATTTCGGGGTCTCGCATTCCTACCGTATCTTGTATTCTCTCATATTCAACCCTCGGACTTAGTCCTGGACATGGAATAGTCAGGTCCACTTTCGACATCTCCTCTGTATGTCTTGGTTTACTTAATGGTAATATCATCGGAAAAGACACTAGCCCCCAATTTCGATATGCCTTACAAGGGATAATTGAGAAGAGGACGAGCACCCTGTCCCACACATGGTCGAGCTGATGCACGGCGGTGTGCATTGGACTCGAATCCTTGCTAGAAAATAACGTAACTTGGAAGTCTAAGAGATGAGCATAGTGATTGAGTGGACAGCAAAGGTATAAGAATGTCCTCAACACCCGACCTTTAGATACCCATAACAACCAAACCAGTCTTCTCGTTCATTCAACCACTCCAGTTTTCCACACCACTTCTTTCTCTGTACAGTACCTGTACCCAACTAACCCATCAAAATGCACACCAAGCCCATCATCGCCGGCCTCTCAATTGCCGCCCTCTCTCTTCTTCCCTCCTGCCCTGCTCCTCCCGTTGCCGCTTTGGTTCTCACCGGTCTTGCTCTTCCTCTTGCCGGCAACTTGGCCTACATCGGTCTCAAGGGCAACGTCAAGCGTGCTGATGTCGATGGCGAGCCTCTAGCTAAGCGCCAATCCTGGCCTGGTGTCCCTGACTACAACATCCAGATGTGTCACGACGCCAACGTTGGCAGAGCTGTGACTGTCACTCAGACCTCGACTTCCTGTACGTGCTCTTAACTCTCTGGAGCCTGAAAACGGGGTTACTAATAAGGACTCTAGCCATGCGAATTGAGAACGTTGCCCCTGAGTGCATGAACCTCGCTGCCGTCTTCACCGAACAAGGAACCCCCATCCCATGTGGCTCTGCTTGCCTCGACTACGTCAACCTCAGTGCCGCGGACAACCAGAAGCTCATGGATATCATCAATAAACTCCTTTAAGAATATTGTGATCAGGGAGAAGGCTGGATTATTGAAGGATTACCTGGGAAATTTTATTGTTAGAAGTTTTCGTGGAGTAGGTCATCGCTTGGCAGTAATCTGTGTCAGAACTCTTCGAACATTGTACTTTTATCCGAGTCCTTATTTTTGGTGCTACTATGATATGTTGCAACTGTAGTATAAAGATGTTTTACACCGATCTTGGAAGTTATAGCGCTATAAGGCTGTTAATGGTATATCAAAGGTGCCCAAAAATGTCTTTTGTACTCTGATAGGGCACAACAGTATCTTGTGATGTCTTACTTGAATATTTCCCTTATGGTGCCGAGTAATGGCATCAAAAAAAGCAAAATATATTTTAGCTGCGTTGCTCACCATGGCTCAGTGCGCCCAAATCAATCGTCAAATCGACAAGTCTGTGGTGCATTGTCTGCTCTGAAGTTTCTAGGCACAGGTCCGATATCAGCTGCAGCGCTGACAAACGCTGCGGAAGAAGTTAGTACATACACCCTCTGTGCACATCTTAGGAGAGTACTCAATCATTCATAAACTATACACGCGGCGAAAATTCGGGTAAAGCTGCCGAACAAAGGAAGAAAAAGCTGATCAAATGATGATTGCTACTTCGACCTGAAACTAGTCTCTACGGTCTGAGTTAATGGCAGATCATGACCCACAACATAATTACACTAATATACGCCTAGAGTAGGCTAATAATCTGAATTGCGTATACTTCCAAGTAAGTATGTAGTCGAGTTTAATAGTGGGTCTTATTCAGAGATCTGACGTATCTCTGGTTGGGCGTTGCGGCCCGTTGCGGCCCGTTGTGAGTATCGATGGGATACAAAAACGATCCGTCTTTTTACGTGACTCGCGCTAGACACTTTTAGTAGACGCGCTACGAAGTAATAGCTCTTCGATTACTTGGCGATGTAACTCTACAATCCTTCCGCATCTGAAAGTGGGTGACCACTAGTGCCAAGCTCTCAGGTTGGAAATAACGCGGTATTGCTCATATAGCAAATTGCAGTAAGATATTACACACTACCTAGGTAGGTAGGTAGGTACCTAGTTTAGCCGACCTTAGTCAGCAACATTCTGGCTGAACCCGACAAGCTTAGCTGTTTGGAACCCTCTAAAAATTCCGCCTCCGGGAACACCACGAAGTGAGCCAAAACTAAACAAGGCGAATATTGTTGTCTGCCCTCATGTCTAATTCCCTTTGCTAGTTTCCCGCCCCTGAAACAAGTTTACGGAGTGCGGGCTAGTGAACCCTGACTAGTGGATATAGTGGAGTTTAATGGACCTGCATTGTTCGTAAAGGCACGGAGTAGACACGGCCGACACTATCTGTCTCAAATATGAAGGTTGGTGGCAATTGCTATGCAGTTCAACGACGACGTAGGTTTCGGATTAACGGAGGTATGCCTAACAACATTACGCCATGACCAAGTACGCCAACGCCAGGACCCCACAGTGTCTGATATAGCTACTACGCTGTAGCGGTGTGTCTCAGTGCTCTGTGAATCTCCAATAGCCATCATGAAAGTTGGGGGCCGTAAGTGGGTGCGTTCGTGTATCCATGTTAGCTGTGACAGCCTAGTTAAGTGGGGTCACATTTTCTTCTATATTGCATGATACGCAGGCATAGTCTGGCGGATTCATATGAACGAGAAAAGGAGGTGAAACAAAGGGTCAATGCCCATCGTAGACTTCTACATCCTGCTGCTTGAACTCTCTCATCTGAGTCTCCACGGTCAACTTTGCAAGCACTTCATGCTGTTCCTGCAGTCTCTCATACCCCCAGCATTTTTTGCTCTCTCAAGCGCAGTATTCTATGTTGCCATCCACCTCCCGTACAAAGGTCGACTGTGTCTCTCGCCACTACTGTTCGGCAGCGCGGTCCTCTCACTGCGTACAAGCCCTTACCTAACATGGCTAACAGGTATGAACGTGCTGTGGGCACTCTTCGCTTGCATCTGGATCCAACATGCAGCAGCCGTCCTCTACTTCGACCAACTGAGAGTGCAGCAAACTGGATCCCTGTGGCTCTCGACATACAAGATCTGGAACGATCCACAGCGTCGCATGAGCCGCGGAATCCCACCGGGATACAAGCGCTCCATTTGGTCCCCCAGTCGAGTAAGATTCACATTCTACCAACTCGGCAAGGTCACTCTATGCTGGGCTCTTCACCTCTTCATCATCGGCCCCCTGGTCCCCCTCTATTTTAATTTCACTGCGCAAGACTTCGCGCCCTCCCGTCAAGTCTTCCTCCGCCGCCTCCTGCCCCTCCTTAATGACCACACCCCGATCACCCTCCGCGAGATCCAAATCCGCTTCTTCCTCTCCATCTACTGGATCTGGATCGCTTACCTCATGCTCGACCTCTGCAACGCCCTCCTATCCATCCTCTTCAGCGTCATCCTCCGCCTTGACACCCCCAACGAATGGCAACCCCTTTTCGGCAGCCCTCTCCAAGCATACAGCATCCGCCACTTCTGGACGAAGTTCTGGCACCGCCTCACAGTCTCCTGCTGCGCTTCTTCCGGAAAACAAGTTACCCGCCGTCTCGTTCGCATGAACCCCAGATCTAGAAGCGAGAAGATCTTTGTCGCATTCTGGACGTTCTTGCTTTCGGGGCTGTGTCATGTGGTTGCCGATTGGCAGGCTGGCGAGCCATGTCATCCGTACGATGATCTGCTATTCTTCGTAGCGAATTTCGTAGCCGGCGCCGTGGAGTTGCTTGTGGTGCGGAGGCTGGCGCTCGTGAAGAGGAGATGTTGTGCGGATAATGATAGGGTTAGTTGGTTGGTTTGTTCGAATACAATCAAAGCGGTCGTGGGGTATGTTTGGGTTTTGGGGTTCTTTTTCTGGATCACCCCCAAATGGCAGTATCCCAAACTTCTTGCAGTTCTGACGCAGGTTCATGGATACTAGTAATATTGAGTCGCAAGTAGTACTATATATGATTGATCACAGCATATGTGAACAAGGCATCAGTTAACCGATGGCCCCTTCTGTATTGAGTTTAGCGCAATATGAGTATTACCACGCATACCCATCTACAACAATGTATGGGTAAAGGGGTAACTATTGCACTCTCTCCCACTAAAAGAAATGAAAAAACCCGCAATTTCAACAATCTGTGCAGACATAATGACTAACTGTAATATGCACTTTCGTATGGTAGGTATGCTTCGTACGGAGACCACATGAGTTTCTGGTAAAATACCCTGTCTCAACCATAATCCACCTTGGTATTGGACAATAATAGTCAATCAATCAATTTCTATAAAAGGGAGGCCCAAGCCCGCTCTGATTAGAAACAGTGTTTACCCTCTCGTCTTAACAACTCTCATGACCACCCCCAATCACGGTAAGTCTCCACACCAACACTCAGGCACATGGACAACAAAATAAAATTCTACAATTAAATCTATGGACTAACCCCATACTTTCAGGCCAATTCATCACTATTACTTCACTCCATACGTTGGAATCTTTAAAACATCAATTTTGAAGAGGGTACGATGCTAGACTGGCTCCGAAAACTCTTTGGCGCCCACAAAGTTGCTCTGGACCGGAGGGAACAGCAGCATCGAAGTCGGAATCGAAGTAAACGAATCCGAGCGCGTGAACGAGAACTACGTTTGCAAAGCCAGAGGCAGGAATTGAAGGGCGGGAAGCGCAGAACACCTTTCTTTTGGGGGTCACCAGGTGTTACTACCCCTGTACATCAGACAAAAATTTTTAGTGATTGAAGTTGTTTACTTGTTTTTGGTTTTCTTCTTCTGGTGTATTTTTCTTTCTTGCTTTTTTCTTTCTATTTTTATTTTAATAAAAGATACATATATTTCGATAGTTCTCCCCTGCAAAACCCCCTGTTTAAGCCAATCACTCCATATGGCATTTTTACTCTTGGAAGAAAAGTCGGAAACAACTGCAGAGTCGGCTTTCTAACCTCCGTAAGGCCATTGAACTAGGTTTATGTGAACAGCACTTCCAGGCCTTTCTTCAACATATTCCACCAAATGGCCAGGTCTTTGGCGTTCAACGTTGTTCTTCTGTTTTCTCTTTGGATATGCAGACACGATTCTATCTCGGATGCTCAGTTGACGCCCTCAGCTCTACTTAACCCCAAGAGAGGAAGCAGTTCGTAGACGATCTTGACGTTATCAAAGAAAAAATTGTGCGAGATGGTTTCCGTGGTCCACTTTGTCATTTGGCACCTAAGCGAGCCTTTTATCAGTCGTGTTCGAGAGCATGGAATTATGTGATGGCTTATGCTAGGCGGGAAGTTGAAATTCAAAGCAGTAGGACTAAGAAGACCAAAGATACGGGTGTTAGCACTGATTTAAACAACAACTTTGAAGAGCTTTCGCAATTCGCCAACTAGGCAATGAGTGTCCTTCTCGCAAATGATAGTATGAGCACCGCTCTCTCGGGTCTTTTCTATTGTTTATCCCAGGACGAGCATATCGTCAAAAAGCTCCGAGCAAGCATCATTGATGGCATTGGACTTACGCCACCGGCCTGGAATTAGCTTGGAATGTTGCATCATGTCTGTTGGGTACTCCACGAAGGTGACGAAACCCTAATCAGCCGTTTAGCATTCAACATGCACTAACCCATAGATTGCAAAGTAATGAGGGGCTTCCCTGCCGCTGTGTTCAACGCAAGGGTGGCAAACAAGAATTCCACAATACCAAGTGGTGTAGGGGCCGATGGCCAGGCGCCAGTTCTGGTTCGAAAGGGTGATGTTGTGATTTTTTCAACCTGGACTCGGCATCACCTAGGGAAAGGCTTTGGAAGAACATCGAGAATGTTTTTTTCCAGAGCGATGGGAACACCTAAACAGTGATATGCCTGGCTTCATCCCGTTCAACAGGGGTCCTAGAATTTGCCCTGGTCGTAAGCTTGCTTCCCTTGCTACCGTGGTCAACACATCAACTAATTACAATACAGAACAGTATGCTATAATTATGCTCACGTACATTGTGGCTCATATATTTCAGACCTTTTCCACTATATCTAACTATAATACTAAAGAGTGGACAGAAAGAATTAGCATGACATTCGAGAACAAAAATGGGGTCCTGGCTGGGCTAAGCTAAACTTTCCTCGGATGCGGACCTTATATCTTGAGTTAGAATAATCTTCAAGGACCGATCAAAGTATATCTGAAATGTCATTGTTTCAATTTGATAGCATGAGGCAGAGTAGACAACATCATAGTAAACCAGTAAACTTAAACCTTCTATAACCAGGTCAGCCAACCCCAAAGAAATCCAATCATATCAACTTCAAATACATACCTTTTGTTGAGGCTTCCTTGTCTCAAAGAATACATTCTCATATTTCCTCATTTCGTACGGCGCCGTCCTCAGCAGTGGCTCCCTCCGCTTTCTAGTCCAGCCCTTGACACTCCTCAAGTGGTGCAAACCATGGACAACACCAGCCATCGGATTCAAAAGTTGACTAACATCCAGATTTGCAGGACTGAAGAAAAGCGGGTCATGAATGGTATCCCCTTCCAGTCTGTATTCTTCCTCCAGTGCGAGGTGCTCCTTCTCGGGTGCTGTTTTGGACGGGTCGTATGGAGATTTATGTCGTCCGACTTCATCGTCTGTTCCTGACTGGCAGGTTTCTGCTCGTTCGGGGTTAAGGATACACCTTTCGAGGATGAGCTGCTCTGTTTGAGGTCTCTTCTGTGATTGGAGATAACAGGTGCTGCGAAGGGGATGTGAGTGCATGGGGTATGTGACAGCTGTTTTGATGGACTTCATGGTTTTGAATTGTGGTTGCTACGTTGCGACCAACCGGATGCATCTGTAAAGCGTGAGAATTCGATGTTTGTCGATCTGGGTTTACCCCAGACTTATACTTAGTTGGGAATGACATCATCACTTACAGCCTAATTTGGTAATTGAAATCACGTGGAAGGCACGAGGTCCCCACCTGGGATACAGTAATTAAATAATTTAAGACTAGGCGATACGGGCTTACTCATAGGCTTGATACTATTCTTAAACTACGCTCGATAGGGAGGAAAGACGAGGGTTGCGCTGCACGTGGGAAGAATGAGGGAAAAGAGGGCACAATGGGAGAGGGAAGCTAGCTGGCGATCACCTGGGCAATCCCAAATGGTTATGTAATATTACGGTACTTTGACGATGACTCATTATAGTTATGATAACAGTTCTGCCACGGGGGCCGCAACTTTAAGAGTTAAATAACTCCGAGGTCCCTCCGACTGAAACAAGTATCCAAATTCCAATATGGCCTCAAGCCAATATATACTTTACGACATCCCCTCCGGCAAGGCACCATGTGTGACATGGTCTCCCAACCCATGGAAAAGTCAGTGAAGCGACAGCCACGATAGCCATTGGCTTTATACACTTTAATCAGGAACACATATACCAACTGACCTAACGCCTTAGCTCGGCTCCTTTTCAATTTCAAAGGTCTTGATTATCGAACGCAATGGGTGAGTAAGATCTAACGGGACGGAAGACAATTGCTTATAAGTTACAGGTTGAGTACCCGGATATCAAGTCTACGTTGGAAACCCAGTATGACTCCGAGGACAATTCTTGGCGAGTATAGGAGATCATCTAATGTCCCCAGTGTCACTGCCAATACCGGAAACCCCGCATACTCTATCCCTACCATTGCTTGTCCCGATGGAAAATACATTGTGGATTCTCGCAAGATTGCGGACTACATAGAGCGCCAAACCCCGCTTCCTTCGCTTCACTTAGACTCAATCTATCTCGAGAAAGTCGAGCGTATATGGTCTGAGTATATGAAAGCCACCAAGCCTATATTCATTCCTCTGGTTCCAAAGCGGATCCTCAACGCAGAAAGCCTTGACTACTGGTATACAACTCGTTCAGCGATGGTTGGGATGCCACTTGATCAATTGGAGAGAGAGAAAGGTGGTGTTCGAGCATGGAACGAGGCGGGGCCCGCCCTTTGCGAAGTGACTGCTTTGTTGAAGGAGAATGAAGGGCCTTTCTTCATGGGAAATACTATCAGCTATGCTGACCTTGTATGGGTTAGCATCCTTCTCTTCAACCGAAAGTTAGGGTCAGACTTCTTCCAGGAAGCAATGGAAAGGACTGGGGATTCTCAGGTGCACCTGAATCTAATGAAGGCTGTTCAGCCTTGGTGTGGGGGATATGGTCATTGAAGTTTACTATATAACTACAAAAAGCAAGATGATAGGCAGGGACGAGCTGTCATCCGGTGGATACAATAACTTGATACAATATATTCACTAGCTACACCAGGGGTCAGTGAATTGATCGATTGCTGCGGCCCGGGCCTCTATTGTCATGCCGGCGCAAATCACAACGAAGTCGAGCCCAATGGCTGCGAGGAACATCTCAACGGCTCAACGGGTATAAGGCCAGTTACAGTAAACAAGAAAGCGGGGGCCGGTCCCCGACTCAGTTAGCGAGCCCTCAGTCTTGAGGTAGAGATGAAAACGTAGCCGCGGGCAATCATGCACCAGGGAACGAGCCACAGCCATCCGATTTGTTGGTAGATCGATAGATCTATTCTCGAAAGTGCGGGCAAAAAAGAGTCCAAAGCCCCGATCATCACCCCAGTCGCCAAAGGAATTGATCTCGGCTGGCCGAACATTACCTGCCGAGCGCTGTAGGAATTGGTGTGATTTAGGGTGAAAGGCTATTTGAGAGAGTTGCCGATATATAGCCCAGTCCATTGTCGATATATATATGTTCCAAGATCCATATATAGTGAAGCCAGGCTCACGGTAAAGAGAGATGTGAGCCGGAGAGTGATGGGGAGGGCACAGTAGCCGACCTCAGTAGTAAGGTGGCCACGGTGGCCAAGCTCGTCGTTAGTGACATGATCCTCATCGTAGTCATCCTCTATCATCTGTGGATCGACTGTATGTAAGCGAGACGAGCGACGCGGGCGCGGAGTTGGAAGGATCACGTTGCCATCACCGTCGAGCTTAGTAGTGGTGCGCCGCGCCCAGGTCTGGTATGGGGAGAGCACAACAGTAGTGCCAGTAGCCGGGTCATGGGAATCGAGGGCAGTAAGATGGTCCTCCAGAGCGGTAACAGTGCCGACTGTGACTGTTTTACGTCGAGTGTCGCCTGTACGATAGCTAGAACAAAAGATGAGTATCAGTGTTCAATCAATCTCGCCTATCCACGTTGTGACGAGGGGATTGGGAACGAGAATTAAAGTGGGAGTAAACGTGCCAGGGGAATCAGGGGCCATTAGATTGCGATCAATGCGGTTACCGAGCCAGAAAAGACTGACGATAAACCAAGAGAAGAGAGAGCAGTCAATCTGACTGTATTGATGCTTCTGACTGCATTGAAGGGGAAAAGAAGAAGAAGAGGGAGAGGAAGCTATTTGTAGCTGCCAGTCCTAGCAAACAGGATCAGGTGATCTCAACAAACACGCTGTTGTAATTCCGGGCAGCTTCCATCAAGACAATACGGCTACAATAGGCATGAATATTCAAACCTAGAGCGCCACACTTGCATGTGGTTAGGGGGATAACTGTCGTAGTAGATGGTTAAAATGTACGCAACCCATATTCGTCGTCTAAACGCTACAGAGGATACATCCCACATACCCAAGAACTGGGTCCATGGATTTATTAAAATTCAGGGGGAAAAAAGACATCTAGAAGACTTTGAAAAAGACTACCGAAAAAGACATTGCAAGGCCACAAACGCGGCTGGCTATTCTTGTCTTTGAATATTTAAATACTGTACACGAACCTAGGGTTTCGATCACCCATTTCCTGGATATCCTGCTCCGATAGTGACGATATTTTCTCGTCCTCCAGACCCTGGGCTCTGCGTTTGTTGATAATACGATAGGAAACCCACATGAAACCATACACAATACCCGCAAATGCAACCATACCTAAAGTGACAGCGTTACCACGGACAAAGCGCGGGCCTTCGGAATTTGGATACAAGAAAGGGGACATGACTCCGCTGATGTTTCCAAAGGTAAGCTGCAAGCCGGTTGCATAAGTGCGTTTTGCGTATCGTGGTAAATTCGTAGGCAGCCAGGCAAGAGGTAAACCAACAGCAACATAGAGCCCCAGGGCGACCATCAAGGCACCGAAGTAATGAACACCCGAAGATGAGTCTGAAATCAAGATGCCATATCCAACGACTGAGATGGCGCAGAAGAGACATATGAAAAATGCACGATGTTGGGTGCGATCACTCAACCAGGCAACACTCAAATAGGCAATGGCACCCAGTCCATAGCAAGGGATTGTCAATGCCTGGACCTCGGCGGTGGTCCATTTCCCCATGCCTTTGATAATAGTAGGAAGGAAGGTACTGTAGCCATAGAGCATGGTATCGATACCAAACTGACCAAAGGAGAAGGCCCAGATCTTCCAGTCTAAGACACCCTCTTTCACATCCGCCCAGTGGAACTTCTGCGCAGACTCTGTCTGGCCGATATAACGACTCCGGCGGAGGGTAACAAGCGCCCGCTCCTCTTTGTTGAGATAGTACGCTGTGTCCGGGTCATCTGCCAAGACAAACCAGGTTACCACGCCAAGTAGAACTGTCGGAATTCCCTCAATGATCATGATCCAGCGCCAGCCTCTGAGCCCACAGATGCCGTCCATAAACCCAATGCCGTAAGCCAGCAACCCACCAAAGGCTCCCGCAATAGCTGCACTGCTAAACAGGTAGCTTGTTCGCAATGCAATCTCACGTTTGCTGTAGAAAAGTGTAAGGTAGGTTATAAAGCCCGGGAAAAGACCTGCTTCTACGACTCCGAGTAGGATTCGACAGGCAATCAAGCCGCCATAATTCTGAGTGATCCCTGTGAGGGTTGCAATGATACCCCACATCACTGAGATCGTGGCAATATAACGAGAGGGCCTGAGCTTCTTGAGTACAAGATTTGAAGGGACCTCGAAGAACTAAACATTAAGGTTAGCGTCCGTGCGGTGACTGAATGTGTGATATGCATACACAGTAGGTCACAAAAAGGATGGACACGGAGACTTGGTACTGGTTGCCAACAAGTCCCAAGTCCTCTTCCAGGCCGTACAATCTTGCATTTCCAATGTTGACTATATATTCAAGTCAGCCGATGTTTTTGATTACCCGTTGGCACCAGGCCAGTTGCAATCGTAAAGGGATGAGTCAGACACCCCGCCCCCACGTACCTCGATCTAGGAAACTGAAGAGATACAACAACACCACGATAGGAAGGATATGCAGGTCAATCTTCCTGATCAGGGACTTCTCGATCTTTTCCTCGTCGAGAGTTGGCCCTGAGCTCATTTCATCGGGCACATCTTGGTCATTAGGTGAACCTGGGTGAGGCTCAGCATGGCCCATAGTGAGAAGCCAAAGATCAGATAGGAAGAATGAAGGAATGGACTCGGCCCCTGGGCCTAGATGTTTCCGGAAGTCCGGAGGTCACTTCAACTATGTTCCAAGGTTAAGGGAAAAGTCTCGGGCAAAAAGTCAAAAGCAGAAAAGGAAGAATTAAAGTTGCCAAGTGCCAAGAAAGTTGGATAAGGACCCTTGCAGCGGATTGATAAGAGAAGTACATCCATGTACAGTATGGTATGACCTACGGAATAGGTAACTGCGTTTCTTCTATTTCTCTGGATTTTTATTTTCAGATTGTATCATAATTGTAACATAGAGGTATTAAGTAGGGAGTGGTAAAGAGTGAGTAGACCACTTGCATAAGATGACGTAAGATGTATGCGCCTGAGGCCAACACGCATAGGAGCCTGCCAATCCAAGTCAAGTCCAATATATTAAGCCCTTAGTAGGGCTAGAAGATACCGGTAGAACATATATCTATAGCTCTGGGAAGTCCCTTTCTGGAGGTATAAAAGTCCACATTTCCAGAGCAAAATAGGAAGGTCAGCAGATCACGATGGACCGGCCTAGCCAGCTTACCTAATAGCAAATCCCGCTGTCATTTTCTGCCTATTTGTGCCTATTTTTGTGCCTATTTGCAGAGGAACTACTCCGTATCACTTTCTGATTTCTTTCTGCAACATATTCGATTGATATCTGCCATGAACGGAACTTTTTTCTGCAATTCCGTTCACCCCGCAATGCACTACTGACGGGCAACACATCTCTTATGACTTCACTTCTCATTATGAGAAATCCTTCACGTGTTTTACAGAGCTTCGCAAACGACTCCTGAATTTGATATTTGAAGGTTTGCTTTCCTTTCTCTGTTATAGGGAGATCTGGAATAACCGCATCCTCTCTTTCTGTTTTTCTGTGTCTCGCACAATCAAAATCTATCGAACCCCATCAAAATCCGTCAAAATCAAAAAGTACCGCTTCAACCAATGGCGGACCGAGTCACTCCTTCCTTTGGAAAATTAGTTGCATCCAAAACTCTTGATGGCCATACTGGCTTCATTTGGGATGTAGCCCTTTCCGGCAATGGTCAAATCCTTGCCTCGGTCTCCAATGACATGATGATCCGTCTATGGAACGCCAACACCGGTCTCCAGCGTGGTGCCGCAAAAGACAACGGCCATTCTAACTGGGTGCGCTGTGTGAGATTTTCCCCCGCGGGCCGATTTTTGGCCACTGCTTCCGATGATATGAGTATTCGCATCAGCGACGTGAATACCGGGTTCACCTACCGCATGCTCCAGGGCCACACCGGCAGAGTGCGAGCGGTGGAATTTTCCCCCGACGGAAGAACCCTCGTTTCGGCCTCTGATGATTTCACTGTACGACTGTGGAATGCGAGCTCTGGCTCGCTGCTTAAAACCCTCAATGGGCACTCGGGTTGGGTGCGCGCTGTAGCCTTTTCACCTGATGGAAAGACTCTCGCTTCAACCTCGGACGATAATTCAATTCGCCTTTGGGACACAGTCACCGGCAATCAAATTCATCAACTAAATGGCCATGAATCCTCAATCAGGGCCATCTGCTTCTCTCCTAATGGGAAACTGCTGGCGTCCGGGTCACAGGACAAGGACCTGCGCATTTGGGATACGACTTCTGGCGCCCTTCTCAATGTCCTCCGGGGACACTCTGGACCTCTGCGTGTGATCGCATTTTCTAATGATGGGAACCTGGTGGCATCAGCGGCCGACGACTTGACCATCCGTGTATGGGCTGTGCCGTTTGGGTTTGCCTGCGTCCGAGTCTTAACAGGCTATTCGGGATGGGTCCGGGGCATTACTTTGTCGCGCGATGAAAAAATGGTAGTCTACACATCTGATGACATGACTATCAAGATTTGGAAATCGGCGTGATTCTCTCTCGTGGAGGGGAGATCCTTCCCGTTGACGCGCGCTTTTCTTTCTTTTTTGTTTGAGATACCCACCAATGTTCTTGATTCTTCAGCTTGCATGCAATTTCTTGCGATTGGCAATCAACTTATTTTAATTGATAATTGATCAAAAGCCGGAACCAAACTGGCCTGCTTTACCTGGTTTGAACAGTTGGGTCGAAGTCGCTAGAGCTGGCCAAGATTGCCCCCTCCATTCTAAAACACTACGTCTGGTTTTTAAGTGCTCGAGCCTCTAGCAAATTGTCAGACACAGAAAGGGGCTGGGTATGCTGCAGGTCCCTTCTCAATGTTCGCATTAGTATGACTCACTCGGAATCTTTTACCTACCTACATAGGTAGCCTATCACGCAACGGGGCAGCCCTGTCGCAAACGCTTAATTGGTGTAGTACCAAAATAGGCAAGGATGGACACCCTATCTTTCATCATGCTCTCTGACTCAATTTGGTGGAATGTGCCCTTCAATATTTCTATGTTCCTAGTATCTTTACTTGGACTAAAACCATGAGCCAACCAATTTCAAATGACAATCCTCACCAAGTCAATGATGGAATCAACAACAAAGCGACAGTCACAGAAAATGCTCTCCAAGGAAACCCCGAGATACAACAAACCCACCAGTCTTTGACCATTGACTTTGAAGAAAACGACCCCGGGAACCCACTAAACTGGCCCAGATCAAAAAAATGGACCATAACACTTGTTGTCTCTCTTTCCGTGTTTCTAATGCCACTATCTTCTTCAATTGTCGCACCCGAGTTGAGCACCATCAAAGACGAACTGCACATGGGCAGCTCACTGGAAGCAGTCCTGGTCCTCTCAACCTTCGTCCTAACCTACTGTCTTGGCCCTCTGATACTAGGCCCATTGAGCGAGATATTTGGAAGAGCCGCAGTCTTGCATGCGGGGAATTCATTCTATCTGATCTTCAACCTAGTGTGTGGGTTTGCTCGAAATAAAGGCGAATTACTCGCTTCTCGTTTACTCAGTGGCATTGGAGGCGCGGGCGGACTTGTTGTGAGTATGCCCCTTCTTCTCCAGCTAGGGCTTGCTTTAATGCACCAAACATAGGTGGGCGCTGGTATCATTAGCGACTGCTTTCCCAAAGAAGAGCGCGGCTGGGTCATTGCCATCTACAATCTTGGGCCTGTCTTTGGACCTTCTCTGGGGGCTGTCGTTGGAGGGTTCATCACCCAATACACAACATGGCGTTGGGCATTCTGGGCGACGTCTATCTTTGATGGAGGCTTGATCGTGCTTGGTTTGCTTGTTATGGAGGAGACTTATCCGCCTGTCATCCTCGCGAGGAGAAAGGCAAAGATGTCGAAAACGGCTGTGATAAACAATACTCTATTAAAGACACCTTATGAGAAACCAGACCAGACTGTCGGTCAATTATACCGCAACTCTCTTCTCCGACCGCTGCAGCTCTTGAGAGTCCAGCCCATCGTCCAGATCCTAGCTATCTTCTACGCCTATCTATACGGGCTAATGTACCTAGTACTCTCGACCTTCACGACTCTCTGGGAAGAGAAATATCACCAGCCCACCGGCCCAGCTAGTCTAAACTACCTCGCACTGGGAATTGGATACTTCTTCGGCTCACAGATATGCGGGTTTCTCGCGGACCCAATTTACAGAGCCCTGAAGAAGAAGCATGGTGGAAATGGCAAACCAGAATTCAGAGTAGTTCTCATGTTCCCGGCCTCGATCCTCGCCCCGGTCGGTTTGCTGTGGTACGGATGGGGAGCACAGGCCGTCACGCATTGGATTGTACCTGATCTTGGCATCGCCCTATTCGCTTGCGCTGCGATGATTCTGTTCCAGTGTACCAGTGCATATCTGTATGAGGCTTTTACTTTGTATGCGGCGAGTGCGACAGGTGCTGTTTACATTCTTCGTGGATTGACGGGGTTCGGATTTCCTCTTTTCGGTCCGAGTATGTATCAGTCATTGGGTTATGGGTGGGGGACTACCATGCTTGCTCTTGTTGCTGTTGTTATGGGCTGTCCGGTGCCTGTTGTCCTTTGGAGATATGGTGAACGACTGAGAGCTCGAAGTAGTTATGCTACTGGGTAAAGTCTGGATAGCTTGACAACTATAATTCACTTGACTTTTTACGAATTATAGAAGTACAATGACTTCATAAAACAGGACATTTTGCGCAACACTTTACTGCATGAAGCTAGCATGAATACATGTAACCTCGGTTCAGTCCACCTCCGCATTACCGGGGGTGTAGCTCTCCCCCTCCCCCAGCTTTGGGCTTGGATTCTCTAACCTTCTAACTATCAACTATTTACACGATTTACAATGTCTGATAACTACGGCAGCTACCAAACGGAGATCTACGGGAAGGGTGCCCTAATGGGCATCCTGCCCGGTGTGACTACCGACCCCCGCAAGCTAGAGGAGCAAGCTCGAGAGTCTCTAGGCGTTCGCGCATTCAATTATGTCGCCGGCGGAGCAGGCGAGAAAGCGACAATGGATAGTAACCGGCTGGCATTCCGGCAGTGGAAGCTGTAGGTTTCTAAGCCCTTACCACGATACTCAGAAACTAACAGAGGCCGATAGAATCCCACGGATGATGCGAAATGTAAGTTGAGATAATACACAACGATCCACGTTTTCGCTGACGGATGATATACCCAGACCCCTGAGCAAGATGTTTCGGTCGAGCTCTTCGGTCAGAAATACGACAATCCCCTTATCATGGCACCGGTCGGCGTACAGGGTATCTTCCATGAAGACAAAGAGACAGGCCTTGCAGAAGTATGCGAGGAAGTCGGGGTGCCGTATACGATGAGCACGGCGAGCACAAGCTCGATTGAAGATGTTGCGACCGCCAACAAGGACGGGAAGCGATGGTATCAGCTGTACTGGCCGAGGGACAACAATGTTACGTTGTCGCTGCTAAAGCGAGCAAAAGAGAACGGGTTCTCGGTTCTAGTTGTTACCTTGGATACCTGGTCCCTGGCGTGGCGACCGGCGGATTTGGATAATGCTTACGTACCCTTTATCAAGGGGGTAGGGAACCAGGTCGGGTTCAGCGATCCTGTTTTCCGCGCGAAGTTCGAGAAGGAGACTGGATCAAAAGTTGAGGATGATATCATTGGTGCTTCGCGTGCGTGGATCAGTGATATTTTCGCTGGGAGTCCACATTCGTGGGAGGATTTGGCTTTCTTGCGGAAGAATTGGGATGGGCCGATTGTGTTGAAGGGAATTCAACATGTGGAGGATGCGAGGCTGGCGCTGAGATATGGGTGTGATGGGATTGTGGTATCAAATCACGGTGGTAAGTGGTTCCTTAACCGGCCTGTTCTTTTTCGTGCCCTATAATAATTTTCGTCCAGGCCGTCAAGTGGATGGTGCAATCGGGTCTCTAGACGTTCTTCCGGAGATAGTCGATGCAGTCGGGGACAAGATGACGGTACTTTTCGATTCCGGAATTCGGACGGGTTCGGATGTTATCAAGGCACTGTGCTTAGGAGCTAAAGCAGTTCTTGTTGGTCGGCCGGTGATTTACGGACTGAGCATTCGGGGCCGAGACGGGGCCAGACAGGTTCTCAGGGGTCTTTTGGCCGATTTGTGGCAAAACATGGGCTTATCGGGGATTAGGAGGGTAAAAGATTGCGACCGAAGTCAGGTTCGCAAGGTACAATACGGAGGTGACGTGAAAGCGATGATGTAGAGTCAGAATACGTGAACACACGTGTATAAAAAAAATGTTGGGAGTCGATCACATGTGAAAGGCTGATCTTCGATAGTTGGGGTATCAACTGGCTTACATATGGACAACACTGTAAATGTAAAAACAATCTTCATGGCTTCAATTTTTGGATATTCTTCATCCTTGATATGTTTAAAACCAATGACAGGAGAGAACCTGACAATGTCGAGATGAATCTCGACTATGCACACGCTCACGTTCCAGCCTCAGGGTCGACTTTGCTCCCGCGACCAGTCGCGTCGTTGATATCTTTGATTACCCAGTCAACCTCGCTATCGTTGCGAGTAGGCACATTCTTTGGCGGGGCGGCCCTGGATGGCGCGCGAGCCACGACTCTGACCAGCTTGGAACTAAGCCGGGCTTTGGTTGAGGGGATCTTGACGAGGGCAGGACGTGATGTCGCAATTCGTAGTGGCGATGAACACGGTAGGATAGAAGCCGAGTCTCTGCTTGAGCGAAGTGTACGTTCCTATACCCTGCACCTGCGGGCAGGGCTGTCGACTTAGTCTTGAACTAACACCCCCTAGCTGGCGGCACTCCACACGACGGTGACCTCGGCATCTTTTTTCGCCGCAGCGACATTTCATTTCTCATCGACCACTTTGTCTTCGGTTGCAAATCTCTCGCAGGCACTTCTGTCTACTTTGGATGCCATTCTCGGATCCACCGAGTCTTCAAGGGCTATTGCAGCTATCATCACGCTGATTCGGCGTGAGTTTAGATCCGCTGAGCCCGGCGCAAGTGCCCAGAATATCGGTGTTGGAGACCTCCTCATTGGCTCTCTAGGCTTCGCACTATTGCAGCGTTGGGGTAAGAAGAATACCGAAAGACACCTACGGCAGAATGGTGGGGATGAGATTGTTTGGGATGTTGTCATCCTGGACAACGGCGCAAGAGCAGACGTGATCGGATCCCATCAACTGCAATTACCCAACCGCAATGATGAAGAGTTGATGGAGCCTGGCAGTGCTTCCTTTGTGACGCCTGGAAATGGCGAGGAAGCCTTTGATGTTGTCCGACGGTCGAGCACGTCTGATTCGTTTGGGCATCGTCTCTCTATTCCATTGGATGGTCAGCAGCAGGTGTCCGATGAGGACATCCGCGCTTATATCATGAGCCAACTTCCTCAGGGCTGTCACGCATCTATCAGATCGGAAGTCTTGACGGCTCGAACGATCACAGTTGATATCTTCGATGATGAGATGGCAGAGATCGCCGCCCCTCCTGGAACAAAGATTGTAGAGGAGAGATTCCACCATGACCATGATTATGGAGATACCAATACGGCCGATGGCCAGCGACGGATTCCCAAGCATACAGTGGTGTTTAGGACAGCCTTCAACAAATCCCAGAGCACGCAGCTGCGACCCTATGACGGCTCTGGAAATTTGGCCCTACCTGAGCCTGATCATCATAAACGCGCATTGCCGGCCAACCCGTTGTCCAATAGTCCAATGAAGTCTCATCATGACCAATCGCGTCCGCATCCCGATGCCACACAGGGCATTGCTCCCAAGCGCCGTGGTACGACTCCTAACTCGCCGAATGAACCTCCTAAGTCTACACTTAATAAAAGCACATTCGCGAAATTTGCACAAAAGGTTAAGCCAGCTGTTCTGGAAAAGAATGATGCCAAACGGCCACCAGGAAAGAAGCAACCTATCGCCTCATCCGGGCCTTCGGGGATTCAGAGTCCTCGTCTACCTCCCAGGCCTATTAAAGGAACAGCGTCTGTGAAGGAGGCGACTGTACGAGAGGTCTCCAGCAGACCCGCTCTCAAGAAGCGACAAACCGAACCTCTGAACCATCGACCGACAACACCTGTCTCCAACCGGGGTTTACGAAGGTCGCCCTACCCAAGCTCCCCCCAAAGACAGTCGCCACAGTCGCAAACGAAACACGCCCCATCTCACGAAATACATGTCTCCAGGGGCTCACGAGGGGGGCATTTCGCGGTGCAAGAGAAGACCCAAGAGTCACTCCTCACTCAAACCGACACATTCCTCTCACGCCGTGGTGCTGGTATGCGTTCTGGATCGCCTGCCGCAGCCCAAACTCACGTTCGTAGCAGCAGCTCCATGTCTGTGACAAGATCGGAAGCGGACGGGACTTTGTCTGCGAATGATAACCGCCCCAGTTCGTCAGCTATGCATCGCAGATCCCAGTCATACACCCCCAGCCTGTATTCCCTAGCCACTGCGGGCTCTGAGACGTCACTGCTGCTTGCGCATCGGCCTCGCAAAAGTGCGTATGAAGACATGGAAACCATCCAAGCCCTCAATCGCGACGGCTTCGTTCCAGGTATCTTTCCAGAGAGACACTTTGTGCACAACATTCGCCGGTTCTCCCGGTTCTCCTCTGCCTCATATGGCTCAAATGCGCTCATGGTCATGGGTGTTCCTAGTGGTTCGAAGAATATACCCAGCACCAAGTCAGACGGCCACGAGCACAGTGCGTTCTCGGAGAATGCAGGTCTCCCGCCATCTACGATCCTCCTATCTTCATTTGTCGACCCAGCCGGTGGCTCGAACGCAGCTGGTGAGACAGAGACGGGGTTCCCACTGGTCCACTATCTTTCCATCGACCATGACTCCAAAGCCGTGGTTCTAACTCTACGAGGAACATGGGGCTTCGAAGACATCCTCACAGACATGACCTGTGATTACGATGACCTCGAATGGCAAGGCAAAAGCTGGAAGGTGCACAAAGGCATGCACGCCTCAGCCAAGCGGCTCCTAGAGGGTGGCGGCGGCCGAGTCATGATCACCCTGCGTGCGGCACTAGAAGAATTCCAAGACTACGGCATAGTTCTATGCGGGCATTCGCTCGGTGGAGGCGTCGCAGCCCTTCTCGCAACCATGATCTCAGAACCCAATCCCTCCACAACAGGCACATCCTTTGTAACAGCCTCATACCAACCAGCCACCCGTCCCCGTCTCCTGACCGCAGATAGAGACCCCAGTCTCAACATCCCGGACCCAAGCCTACCTACCTACACCCTCCCAGCAAACCGTCCAATCCATGTCTACGCCTACGGCCCCCCAGCCGTGATGTCCCCCTTCCTCCGCCTCGCTACTCGAGGCTTAATAACAACAATCGTAAATGGCTCAGACATAGTCCCCAGCCTGTCGCTAGGCATCCTGCACGACATGCACACAGCGTCACTATCCTTCAAGGACGACACCACGGGCGCCAAAGCGCACATCCGCCAACGGGTCAGCGATTCCCTCCGCCAAAGCATCATCCACAAGTTCTACGTGAATCAGCCTCCCCTAGTCGTCAACGCGGGCGACGGCGTCGGCGAAGACGCGTGGGCCTGGAAGACATTGAAACTGCTACGGGATGAGATGCGTGCGCCGAAACTAATGCCGCCCGGTGAAGTCTTTGTCGTTGAGACGATGCGGGTTCTGCAGCGGGATGCGTTTACGGCGCCGGAACTCGGGGTCGATGGGTGTCCGCGTCTTGGGAGGCCTGCCACTCGCGTGCAGATTCGGTTCATTCGGGATGTTGATGCTTGGTTTGGTGAGTTGCGCTTTGCTGGTGGCATGTTGAGTGATCATAATCCGGCGCGATATGAGACTAGTCTTGCTGCATTGGTGAGGGGGGTTTTGGATGAGTAGACCTCGGGGTTTGGGAATTTATGTGTTTATATTTTTTGGGGGGGTTTCATTTGGGATGGTATTTACTTGGGTATTGGTTGGGACTTGGATGTTCGGCAGATATAGATTCTCTTTCTTTCGTTTGGGATACTTCCAAGGTTATGTTGGTAATGATTTGATAATATATTCAGGGCAAAGATAGACAACAATGACTACATACGATACCTAGCCCAGTAACTCTTGCCTTCGGAGGTGACCATTGATTTGTGGTTATAAAGAACCGATAGAACTCTTAATGGGTACGGTAACTACAGGATAGCAAAATAGAGAGAAAAAGAGTCTTCGTCATAGAATGTACATTGAGAATCGTAATTTTATATAGTGTATAGAACCGACCCATCTAAACCAGATGGGAATCCGATAAAAAGAATCAAAACCAAGATCCAGGGTATCACGGCATCACACACAACTCCAAACAAAAGAAATCCCCATCTGACAAAAGAAAAAACACCCTTAAAAAAACATGACAAGAACCAGAATGATATCGAGACAGCAAATGCACAACCGCTTATACAACAAGTGCAGTGGCAGCAGGAGCAGGGCCCGGGCGACCAGAGTGGCAGCCACGCTCATGACGCTTCATATTGCTGCGCACTGAGAAAGCCTTACCGCAGCCAGTATGTGTGCAGCGGAAGGGCTTCTCGCCAGTGTGCGAGTGGGAGTGAATGCGCAGGGAAGAAGGGCGCGAGAAAGCCTTGTGGCAAGTACGACAGATATAGCGGTCGTGGTTCTGCTGGTACGGGGCTGAGGTGGAGGGCGGGAAGTAGTGGTGGTGTTGCCAGGCCGGGGTGACGGGGGAGATGAGAGCCGGAGACGAGTGCTGGTGTGGCTGCTGCGTCTGGACCTGGACATTGGGCATCTGGGGAGCTGATGCTGGTGTTGAAGGCTGGAAGGAGGATGTACTTGGTGGACGTGGGTAGTACATTTGCTGTTGAGGAGCGTCGATTGGAGATGTGTAGGATGAGACGCTTGGTGCGGGCGAGGCGTAGGGTGCTGCGTTGCGGGGAATGTGGATTGAGCCATTGCTGGAGATAGAGGAACGGTGTAGGTGGTGGTGGTGCGCTTCCTTGTGAGAGAGCGACTCCACGGGAGATGCGCGCCGGTGGGCATGGCCGGAGCCGGGGCGCAGAGGTGGTGTTGGGGGCAGCTCGTAGGACTGGACCCGGATGTGGCGTTCACCGAGAGATGGTGAAAGACGTTGGCGCTCTGGGGAGTATATAGTTAGCGAGGGTGTTTTAGGGTTGTGGTATAGTTGGAAGTACTCACTAGCTGCGTGCTGGGCACCATCGGCACCCTCAAAGAGAGATGAAATTGAAGGCAATGAGACCTTAGGCTCTTCTGCTGGCGGCGACAAAGGCAGCGAGCGCTTATAGTAGTTGGACTGGAGAGGAGTGTATACAGGCTTGGCAGCCGTGCTGTGAGAGAGGAGGTTGGCGAGATCCATGATGAAGAGAAGGTGTTGGAGAGGTTTGATCCAGTTGTGTTTCAAGTCCGGCGTCGTTCAGTGAGTGGGGGATGCCACGAGGTTTATACCTAGAAAGCAGGCGGGCGGCTTTGGTGATCGCCAGCGGAGGATGCCGACTTAGGCAAAAATTACGATTTACGTTACGGCATTTTTTTTATTTAATTTCTTTTTATTATTTCTTTTTTAAATTATATTTTCCCGGTTTTAATTATTTTTTTTAATGAGACGCAGTTTGCTCCAAAGCTTAATTTAATTGATTTTCCCTTCTTTAAGTTTAAGAAATTCAATTAAAATTAATTTAAGCGAGATAAATAATAATCAATAATTCTTTTCGGAGATTAACGTGGGGGGAATGACGATTCACCACGCGAAGGCAGAAGCCCGAACCTTCCAGCCTTGTGGGATGTGCAGCGCCCTAAACCCAAACTGGGAGGCCGTAAAGACCCCGTTGGATGATTGCACCTCGGCTACGGTTAGTGCAGATCCTGCTGGACCTGTCACATATCCCAAGCCACCCCATAAACGGCTGATCGATCAGGATCTGTTGATCTGCGAGAGCGATAGACGGTTGTATATGGAGTAGAGATCGGTGTAATTATTCTCGTTGTCTCTCTCTTTGAATTTTGATAATGATACAATCATATCAAGTGCAAAACCCGGGGGGTGCCACCGTGGACGGTTCAGGAGATCATTTTGTCGCGTGGCTGTGGAGCACAACGGCGCAAGCGAAAAGGGAAGGTCACAAAGGGATAAAGCTAGTCCGTTTTGAGCCACACCTCCGGAACCTTGGAACCACCCTTACGCCTCCGCTGCTCATACGCTGGCTGGGGTACTCCATTCATGCTACCCATGGGTTGCTCATGTACTGGGAACTTAATTTCATCTATTAATTACCATGTCCGCTGCAATTGATCCCTGATTGTCATCACCAATAGCGGCTTTAAGCGCTGAATGCGAGACCAGAGGAATGCCTGAAACAGTCTTTAATCCATGTACCTGGGCTCGCTTACACGAACCTTACAGGCACAGCGAGCGGAGTACCTACATCAATATATGTACATCATACATGGGAAAAAAACTTGTTTCGCTCCCACTCTGGTGCATGATACATATACAATATCTAGTTGATCTACGATGTGTTCTCTAGGCGCAGTCCAATCGTGGATCTGGTTTGAAAATGGAGAAGACGAAAGATCCCTTCGGCAATTGAAACCCCATACGGATGCTAAGTTAAGAAGGTGACAAGGCCTAGAGTCAATCTAAGACCACGCTCCTGAAGATCATTTCTCGAATCCGTGGAACTGAACTATGGCTACCAACGCAAATGAGTTATTAACACGATCGGCGTTCTGGAACATTACTCCTATTAACCATTTTACCTCTGTATATTTCTGACCGTGCACGATTTCTGCACAGGCGCGACTAGGGATTGGCCGTTAGAGGTGGATTTGTCCCGGCCTCGTGGAAGCGAGATCCACTATTTAGCCCTTTACGAGAGATCGCCGGTGACGGAGATAATATTATAGAACGGACTGTACAACATACAAAATAAGATAGATGGCAATCGGATAGATTATACGCATCCTCATTTTTATTCATACTTTATTTCTACACTCCGTATCTCGCCCGACAATCTCCCTATACGATATCATAATTATCGAGTAATTAGGTACTATTCCAGAATGGCTCGAGCGTTAAGATCGTCCCGGGCCTACGGATGATCAACCCCTTGTCGGCACTTGGTTCGGATCGCCTATCCTCAACTGAGACTGGTCCCGGTCTTTGAATTCCGCGGACATTGATTGGGCCTCCCTTGGTTCGGCTCAGGGTAAATGGATATTTGACCTTTCACATTCAGCTCACCCTCATAAAGTCATTTAAATCATAGTTGTGAGCAGTCCACGGAGGCCATATAGGAAATATACTTTTAGCGATCTTCATACTGAGAAGCTTCACGGTCGGAAGCCTATTTTTGCTTTTTTTGCTTTTTTTTCGTCATGAAACCAGGAGAAGGGCGATCCGCTCATGTCTTGTCCCATGGGAGCGATTTTACGTTTACGTTTGGTTTTTTTTTTTTTTTTCTAGTTCGAATGCTAAACCAAGGGTTATTTCCTCCCTTCCATTCCACTCTACTCCGTACTGTATTCTACTATATTTATCCCCAGGCCACGTACAACTTCTATTTTTCCAGTCAACAATCAATAGTCTGCCTAGAAGGTCAATCTGACCGAGGAACATCATACTATTGAAGGTGATCGAACTATCCTCTTTAGGTCATAGATCCGGGTAGGTAACGGATTCAGCCGTGATCGCTGATCGTTTCTTGATCCCGGGGCACTGGGCCCATGCCACGCGACTGTCTCACCCCTTTCTTCCCGACTTGTCCAGGTCGAGTTAATGGTTGCAAATCAGTGGGGCTGAACATGTCCAGCCACGAGAGGAACCTGGACTTCGTAGATGTGATATATTCTATACAAGATACTTTCTACAAGTTCTACGTTGAATACGATATTCGCTGCAGAGTACTGGTTGCCTTGCGGAAAGGTTGACACATGGCACTTGCATATCCACGCGCATTGTGTCTGCTGTATCACATATCACATCGTGTTGTGTTTCATCAAGGGAACTCCAAAACTATAATTAAAATTACATTCCCCAAGCGTCAATGTTGATGGGGTTCTAAAAGTTTAAGTGGTTTCCTTCGAACGCCGTGACCTAAACCTATTCCAAGGTTTTCGGCCGTGAAATCACCAATTCCCTAAATCTGCGTGGACCCCCGAGGCCACTGTAAATTCTAAACCGCCAAGCTTGTTATACGCCGATCGGGGATTGGTAGATCCGATCTTACGCTTGTACTAGTTGGGAAGGTGCTTCTATTGGACGGTGGACGCGCCTGGCAATGCAAGTGCCACGCATACAATATGCACCATTTTTTGGTTTTTTGGTTTTTTTCACGTGGCAGCAAGCCCTAATCTGGCATTCCGTCCGATGCACCTGTCTGTGTCCGATCACTAGGATATGCGCATGGGATCTTCCCGCGACGAGGACTGCAGTAGTGTGCATATTACATTCTATTTATGCAGTGATTGGATTATTGAATGTTAAATTCCTATTAATACGAACGTGTCGAATGACTCCTGTCACTTCCATTTTCATATTCCCATGTGGATAATTTCCCAGATTTCTCTGCAATAATTGCATGTATAGAAATCTATGTTGTATGGAAAACAATATCTACAATATCTACAATATACAATGCAATGAACAATTTTGCTAACTATGTTGCACTCCGTATCCTCCTTCCTATTCGGAAATGATCTGTGGATCAACGAAGATCCAACTTCAGGGGGATTCACGCCTGGGTAACTGATGGCCATAGCTCCGGCTGACTCATGCCATGATCGCCCGCCATGGTTAAGCGACGACTATTTTAGGGAGTGTCTCCGATGCGGTCCTCCACGTAATGTCGATATTGTCATGCGTTTTGTTATGCATT